GCCTAAACGGTTTTTACCCCTTGTGTGCAAAACGGTCTGTTACAGTTATGATTTAAGTTACATTTTTTCTTCTATGCCTATCTAGTAAGTCTCACAAGGCTTTCTTTATTTTACTTTATCCGTCTGTCTACTTTTGATTATTAGGGCTGCCAATCTTTTAGACAGTGCTCTTTCTCCCTTTAGCACTTTTTCTCATGCTTTAGTACTAAGGTGAGATTTACTAACACCCTATGCATTAAAGAGCCAAGACTAATAAAGCCTATATGAATATTGAAGACTTAGATGTTTGTTCCATACCACTGGATGCTTTGGTGCCTACGTCTTTATCGCCAGTCAGCATTATATTCACAGTTTGGGAATTTTTGCTTCTTTGTTTCTGTTGCTAGTATCTAGGGTTAAGCCCTTGGGCATTGCTGAAGTGCCCTCCTGGTGCATGGGATCAGTGTGGAGGTGGTGTTTATTCCCTTTTACACCCATTTTCACATGGATCCCATATTTTTCTATTTTTTTTCTGGATTTAGAAAGCACTTCTATTTTTAAATGTTACAAGGAGGGAGCCACGAGCTGGTAGCCCCCTTCTTGTAATAATTAAAACAAAAGAAGAACAAATTGCATGGATGAAATTTTGTTCAACAAGCAATTCATTCCTCATTTAATTCGTTGTAATTTGTATTCATCCATTCGTCTTTTCTACTATTTTGTTTTGTCACTTTCTTTCTCACTAAATCTTTAAAGGCATTATAATGCCAAGTGACAGGGGAGTTTCGCTTGTCCAAACTGCTACAAAACACATTCTAGGTGTACAACACCACACACTTAGAACCCTTAGAATATATTTATAATTTACTGGTAAATTTTAACCAGTAGAAAGAGCAAATATATGTTTAAACTGCAATTGGATAAATACTTATAATAGCTGCTTGATCCAAGGAGACATCTGACTGCTATTTTGGGGTCAAGAAGGATTTTTTCCTAGTTTGTTGCAAAATTAGAAGTGCTTCAGACTGGGTTTTTGCCTTCTTTTGGATCAACAGCAAAAACATATGGGAGGAAGGCTGAACTTGATGGACGCAAGTCTCTTTTCAGCTATGTAACTATGTAACTATATTTTGAGAGTATTCTATGCGTATACTTTAGAATTCCAATCTTCTTGAGATTTACCCAGTTTGCACTCCACTGTGATATTTACCTACGTTAAGAGATTGAACATACATCTCATATAATGTATACATTGTTGTGCATGTATATTTGTACGGTGCACTTGTCATGCAAAAGCTGGTTCCCTGTAGAGTTCTGTAACTTGATTTCTTGGGAAACCGGACACACTGGCTGAAGAGGGCTGCTAGGTGAGGTCCTACAAAATACCTAAATTGTGGTTCTGTGAGGCTTAGGATTCTGGGCTTGGGACTAGGAAATAACTAGGAATTAAAAATAGAATTTGTTTAATTTGGTATTTCAATACATGCAACATCTGGAACTACGCCTTTCATACAGGTGACCATAACCGATAAACAGAATTGCCTTGATAATAAAAGGGTTAACAATTCCATCGTGCTAAGTAGATAAAAATTACCGCAAAAAGTTACTTAGCAACTGAATTAGTTTGTAAGATAATATTTGCTTTCTGCATTGCCAAAGCCTTGAGAGATCACTGGTTTTCATCAAGGGTGTTATGATCCGGTTTCACAGCATGAAGCCAAGTTAAAAAATAAATAAAAAATGAATGAATGCAAAATTATCAAATGAAGCAATCATGATTAAATAATCACCATCAAGCTATCACCAAACAGTAATTATTGAATATACTGTTTGAAATGGAGAAAATAATTCTACTTGGGTTTTCCATGTGTTTTTGTGCATTTTCAAGGATTAATACAATAATTACTTGAAAGCTTACATCTGATTATATTAGCTCTTCCTACCTCTCCTCTCAAAGTATTCATCTGACTTCTGTCGTATTCCGTGTCGGAATAAATCCTCATCTGTAGGTATTCTTTCATCCATCCATATTCTTTACATCTTGTTTATTCATTACTTGTTTTATGTCTTTACATCAGTATTACAGAGCTGAGGTCTTGTGTATGCCATTTTATAACAGACATGGATTTAGTACAAACCAAAAAGAACATAAAATACTCAAAATAAGAATTAATTAGCACTTAAGATGTTCTGAGGGGTGAAAAACACTTACAGTTGTTTTAGCTACAACAAAATTAGAGATTAATCACACAAGTTCACAGCCACATGTTCAGACAGCAGTTACGGATAATTTAAAAAATAAATAAATAAAAACATCTGATTTCTAAAACTTCAGAGACTGTATTCCAGATGTCATGCGCAAGTGGATTATAATGACTAAATCCAACACATCAGCTTTTTCACACATTGTAAAACATAAAAATAAAAAAAAAGTAAATAGACAAATCTTAATGAAATATTCAAAATTTGAGCTCAACCTGTCTAATAGCGCCTGTTATGGGGTGGGTACAATGATCCGCCTTAACATAACCCTCAAATCAGTGTCCAGTAAAGCAGGATGCCGGTGGCCAGGTTGAACGTAGGTTGGCCAGTGATGTTAAAAAGGGAAAATGGAATGGGTCCGCCCGATGGTATCATGATCTATAGAATTTATGCAATGTTCGAAAATTTTCACTTAAGAAACACCACGGATTAAATGGGAATCTGATATAAACAAGACCTTTAGAAATCAAGAATGGAAACAAAGTTTAAAATTAGGGAAGAAAAATATACACTGTATAAATTTGATAGAATTACATTTCAAAATATTATATAGGTGGTATTTGGTTCCAACCAAATTAAATACAATCAACATCATACACTCCAATTAATGTTGGAAATGTGGTAACAGCAGAGGAATCCATTACCACATTTGGTGGGAATGCAGAGAACTAGACAACCTCAAATTACATTTTACTATATTATTGGAGAAGATCTTTGTCCGAGCAGTGAATTTGACCCCCCAGCTCCTCCTTCTTCATATGGACCTACCAGAGTGGAACAATCCACTTCTTAATTTTTTGATTCAATTACTTACTGAAGGCATTTAAAATTAGTACAGCAAGGAATTGGAAACAGTGAGGTAAACCAGAATTGTTCAAGATAAAGAATCAAATCAACTATGAATTTAGAATAGAGAAGGGTTACTATCTACTATTTAACCAGTTAGACTCCTACTCAAAAATGTGGTCACTTTGGGAATCGTGCCTCTATGTCAGTTAAGATAATGAAAACTCAGATCTGCTCTCCCTGTGTCAGTATGAATGTGGTAGGAATGTAATAGATATGTTTTAAGATAAGATAGCTATAACTTTGTATAAAATGTTTTACTATCGAATATATGTGTCTGTAATTTCAAATTGTTAATAATGTGAAAAGTTTTTCAAAAATTTCAAATCAAGAAGTATAGATATATATATATAAAATATTACATGGAAACACTTTTTTTTTTTACATTTTACAACAACAAAAATATGTAAATAGACAAACCTTAATGAAATATTCACAATTTAAGCTCAACCTATCTAATAGCGCCTGTTATGGGGTGGGTACAATGATCCACCTTAACATAAACCTCAAATCAGTGTCCAGTAAAGCAGGATGCCGGTGGCCAGGGTGAACATAGGTTGGCCAGTTATGTGAAAAAGGGAATGGGTCCGCCCGAGGAACAGGCAGGTCAGTAAGGTGTGAACACACGCTAATTTGTCTGCCAATCAACAAGAATAGACCACATGCAGGGATTGCTGGTTTAGCACTTTATACAGGGTCCTAGTGAAGAGCGTGTGCTGCTACCACTTTGCTTTTCAGGGATAGCTCCCTGGTGGCTTCAAAAGCGGTACATCAGGAAACAAAGTTGATACAGTGGGAAAGGACTGTCCAACCAAAATAGATACAGTTGGGAGGGCGGCTTTTATTGATACGATTATAATGGTTACATTACAGGCAAGGGAAAGTCTCAAAAACTGGTTTTCAAAGAAAATAATATTTCTGTTTTGTCTTAGTACCAGCCTTCATCACCATGCCTCAGAAATGTCTGGCACTTCAATTGGCAGAAATAGAATACTCCTGGAACATACATCCAATTTCTTTATCTAACTGCAAAATATGTAAGTTTTTACAAATTTTAATGTGGTTAGTTAAGTGTAAATAGGTCCTTATGAAGGGGAATCTCTCTGACGAGAAGATGGAACCCCAAATTAATTTCTATATGCCTTTCTTCACACTGAGTAGGGGTAAAGCAGAACTCCCCTACTGTTATTTGGTTACAGGGTGCCCACACTCATTTTTAGCCCCTCACCTCTACATTGATGGAAGCAGTCCTACCCCCCTCCAAATTATTATGTTTCTTGGTTGCCCCCTATGTTTATCTGCACTGGTTAGAAAATGTATTTCTGTGTAATTCCTAACCAAGCAACTCATTTGTCCCCAATTCTGCTCTAGTTCAGCAACTCAGACATCACATGATGATGCTTTTTTTTTTTTATAATGTAAGGATCTATGCATACAAATACAACTATAACAAATAAGTTTGTTGAAATATTTTATTTACAAATTTTTTTATAATTTTGTTTAAAATTTTAATTTAGCTGAAACTGTAAATAGCAGAACCTCTGCTAACATACCCCATGTAATGGAATGTTCAGTTTGTTTACAACCCTGCAGTATTTTAACACTTTAAAATAAATATTAATACATAATTATTAAAAACATTATTAATATGGTATGGGAAGTTTTCTAAGAGGGTGGTAAACGGAAGAATTAAACTGTATATTTCACATTTTAAACATATTATTTTAAGTCAGAGTTCAACTCCCAACATTTGTCACTCTTGTTTCTATATTAATCCAGGTTTTTAAAGTAACATTTCTTGTGAAATCACAACAATTATGTTTTTTTTTTTAAAAAGAAACAGAATTTCATCAAACAGCCGCAGTACAATACAACATATTGCATTTCATAGTAAACAAATAATAAACACATTCTGGTAACCTAACTGCTGTTCTACTGAAACCACCAAAAACCGTACCTAGAACCTTACAGCCATTTAATGTTTCCATCTTAAAAACATTGTGCACATTCGCCCCTACTTAACGCCAGACGTGGCTAAGGTGCTGGTCCATGCCACTGTCCTCTATCGCCTTGACTACTGCAATCCGCTTCTCAGTGGTCTTACATGGTTCAAACTTGCCCCACTGCAGTCTATAATGAATGCGGCGGCGAGGCTCATCTGTCCTCCCTAATACACAAATATGTCCTGTCTAGGCCCCTTAGCTCTGCCGAAGACTTGCGTCTATCCACTGTTCATACTCCCACCCCTGATGCTCGTCTGTAAGACTTCTCTAGGGCTGCACCGTTCCTATGGAACTCCGTTCCCTTTTCCGTTAGATGCTCACCTAGTCTCCACTCCTTCATAAAATCATTAAAAACTCAACTTTTCACAGAAGGATATCAATCTTCATTGAATACTATTCTACCAGTGTACTTCCCTAATACTTCCATTACCTTTTGTGTCATTTTACCCCACTCCCTGTAGCATGTAAGCTCATTGAGCAGGGCCCTCAACCCCTCTGTTCCTGTGTGTCCAACTTGTGTGGTTACAACTACATGTCTGTTCGTCCACCCATTGTACAGCGCTATGGAATTTGTTGGCGCTATATAAATATAATAATAATAATTTAAGAAATTCATCACATGAGCAAGTTGCTTGCTTATTTCATGTTGCCATAGATGGACTAAATCTACTAAGAACTATATTATTATATATATTTTAAAAAAACTTAAAAAAGTCAATTTTCATTAAACACGAGGAAGACAGTTTCATCCGAAGACCTGTGAGTATTACTGAGAACGAACCCAGCTATTAATTTTATGCCTCTGTGGATCTACAATTAGAAATGTACTGTTACTGTTAATAGTTTAGCTGCTGTCTCTCTTTCTGGAAAGAGATCAAGCTACTGTAATTTGTCACAGTGATTGGTTGTTAAAGCAAAATTCCTATTTGTCAGTGCTGTGAAATTGCTGTCAGGAGTATTCTTTGTTTTTCAAAGGCTACATTAAACCATCTGTAATAGAGTTAAGGAACATCTAACACAATGAGGTGATTTACATGCCAGGGGATTACAAAGAATATCAAAAAGTCTGTTAGAAAGCTTAGAAAAAAGTCATGTTGTATTGATGCGGAGAACAATCAGAAGTTCTAAAAAAAAAAAAAAAAAACCCAGGATGATCATTGTGTATAGATGTTTACATTTGAAAATAAAATTTCCTTTATAGTTCAAGTGAGAAATCTTTTAAACTACTTCAAATCCCCAAAATGCCTGTTGTCATTTTAATCGGAGGATTATCGATTTAACGAGGCTGGTGGTTTTCATAAACGGTGGAAAAATGTGAAGGCAGGTTGTCATCACAAAACAGAAATAATGTAGTTCATGGAGCAGGATGCGAATCCAAAAAATATGTTCTTGTAAAACTGTTCCACATGGTATTTGAAATATACATTTTTATCAGTCTTCTGTTTCTCTTTACAAACAATTTGTTATTTTTTTTTAATATAAAATAGGAATATCTTGATTAGTATTGAGTTGTTTGTCCACATTTCATAGTCTGTTTGCTCTTTAAAACACAGTTCGACATTGGTAATTTAATGTTGTAATCAGGGTCTTGGGCAGTCTTGGAAAATGTTACTATTGAAACCATGTCATCACCGATGTCTACCTGTGACCTCCAACGTCTACAGATAAGTAACTTCTTCAGGGCCCTCTGGAAGTCTCTGTTTAAAAAGGCATACAGCATGGGGTTGATGGTAGAATTGCAGTATCCCAGCCATGTAATAAACTTGAAAGCATTCTCAAGGACAGCGTTGGTGGAACTCCCCTTTGCTGCAATCCAAACATTTAGAACAAAATATGGTAGCCAACACATGACAAACACCGATATAATGATACTCATTGTCCTTGTGGCTTTGTTTTCTAGTTGCAAATTGTTCTGCCGCTTACTGTTCGGGTGGTAATGGAGGTCCAGTGTCTGGGACACAATACGGGTAGCTTTTAATCGGGAAGCTTTGTAAATAAAGAAGTACATGCTGCACATGATCATGAATGGAATGTAGAATGCCAGTGACGAGGCTACAATTGCAAAGGTCCAGTTGGTCACAAAGATGCACTCTTTCCCATTGTCAAAGTCGATACCGGGTATCTCATTCCAACCTTGCATGACGGGTAAAAAAGATATCAAGGAGGAATAGACCCATATTGTCATTGTCATGAAGATACATCTATGAATAAAACATAAAGAGAAATATATATAATATATATATATATATATAGCAATGGATGTTTCATTTCTGAACAGATCAGTTTTAACATCCATAGAATTCTTACATTATGCCATTAGAAATAGCATATTATTGTGTGTTTAAGGTATTGTGACCCCTGATTAGATTTTACCTTAAATTTCTGTTAAGTCAGTCATGCAATGGAACACTTATATAACCCCACAGCATTCATGCAGGGACTAATGAAAGTATTTAGAAAATTGGGCAGACTAGATGGACCGAATGGTTCTTATCTGCCGTCACATTCTATGTTTCTATGTTTCTATTCTCCATATACATAGTAAATTGGTAGTGCAGGGAATATATATATATATATTGGCATGAGCAGGGCTAAAAGTCGGTGGCATTGACAACTTAAAAAGAATTCTAATAATAATGAAAAATAATAATCATTATAATAATGACTGTATTGTTTCTAATAATAATAAGAACACAGGTTTTTTTAAACATAGTACTTATTCTTTTTGTTTGTTGTAAAAATATAATAGCTGAAAGGCACATTCTAGCTGTGGTAGAACTACCACTACCCTATAGTTCACGTTCTACTACAGCTTGGGGATCCTATTGTTTGTCTATCTATATTAAAAGCTTATAGAAACAACATATGCTCATATATGTCCGGGGTTGTAGAGGGAGGTCAGAATATATTTTGAGTGCTGCTATGGAGATGAGAGAATTAAAGGGAAGTGACCCTCTCTACCACATATGGTCAAGATATTGTTTATAAATAATTACTCAAAAACGAACAGGACATTCCCTGCCATGTAAAGGGAGGAAGATTGCCGCCATGAGAATGGCAATGAAAATTGGGAAGAAGACACTACTGACAGATCCCACCCTATTCAGAAGATATGCAATAGGAACAAACAAGAGAATTTAAGGAAAAGGAGAAAGATGTCCTATACTTTCTTCATGTCAGGTGCTGTGTAGATTTGGAGTGAATATTGAAAGTTTCTGAAGCATCTTACGCTTAATTGGACAGTGACTTAAAACTTTTTTTTTTTTAAGTGACTTTAATATGCAAGGGCAATGTGTTGAGTGCTATACTTCAAATAGGAAATAGTAGGTTTGAGAATCACTGCAGTTTAAGATTAAGTAGTGCTACCTACAGTGATAAAAGGATCCACCTAGTGCATTATATACATACAATCAGGGAAAAAAGAAAGTTCACCCACTTTGAATTATATGGTTTTACATGTCTGGATATATAATCTGTTCCTTAGCAGGTCTTAAAATTAGATAAATACAAGCTCAGTGTCATGATTTATTTAACAAAAATAAAGCCAAAATGGAGAAACCATGTGTGAAAAACGTTATGAGTCAATAGCTTGTATAACAATCTTTTGCAGCAATAGCTTGAAGTAAGATTTTTCTGTTTAATCTTATCAGTTTTTCACGTCGTTGTGGAGGAATTTTGACCCACTCTTCTTTACAACTTTGCTTCAGTTCATTAAAGGACCACTATAGGCACCCAGACAACTTCAGCTTAATGAAGTGGTCTGGGTGCCTGGTCTGTTAAATAATATTGCTGCGCTATTGCGAGTAAATAGTAATTAATAAACCAACGCATACAAATAAAAGAAAGTCATCTGCGTTCTGCGGATAGTTTTGCAGCAGGAAATTACAGGTGTTCCACCAGCAGGGAGGCGACGACCAGGCATATACCTGGGGTGACGAGTGGAAAGAACTTCGCTTAAAGTTATGTTCGCCGGGATGCTGGGCGTAGGTTTCGCCAGGGATATGCTGTGTTTTTCTCTCAATTTCAAACAGTGAAAGCATAAGTGCTCAGTGTTCTAATAGCAGATCGACTGTTTGTGTTCAGATAGTGGTTGATCTCACTTTTGGGATTTTTGTGCGTAGGAGTATTTAAGTCAGTGGTAAATGTTATATTAAAGTTGTATAAAGAGACGTATAAAACTATTTGTTCGTTAAACCGTTTCAGCCTACGAACGAACAAATAGTTTTATATACACATTACTCTTTTTATACCTGGCTTTTTAGTATATTTTAGTATATTTTTAGCATTTTACTACTATATACCAACACTGACTTCGGAAGTCTCCTGCACTCCAAGAAATCCTAAAGGTGGGGATCAATCCACCTATGCTGAGACACAAGAGCAGTCGATCTGCTCCTCATTTGTAAGTACGTTTTCATCTACTTATATTAAGACTACTAAAATAGTGAGCACTATTGGTTGTCTCTCTTTTTCCTTGTTTGAGAATTGGACACCACTGACGGAGAGAAACCCACAGCATATCCCACAAGCGGGGATTATACCGCTGTATGCGCTTCTATCCTAGAGCTGGACATAAGCTCTATTAAATGTGAGTTCTCTAATATTATCTTTCCATACGTCACTTGTGGAATTATACAATACTGCACTACTGGTCGTCCTTCTCTCTCCCCTTTTGTCTTTTATATGAGTGGAACCTATACAGCTTATGAAGACTTCACTGCTGCATCACTTGCTATAAAGACTATCCACAAGGACACTTAAGTTGAACTTTTATTTTTATTTTTATTTATTACGTTGGACATTTTTATTCTAAGTTACTCTATTTTACTCTCTTATTGGCGCAGCCTTTTATTATTGTTTTTACTGTCTTGTTTTAAAAGGGCTTGGAGGGTTTCCCTTTTTAAGGTTGCTGCCTGTTTATTAATTAGAGCTGTCTCTCCTTTCCATATACTCCTTACCAGCTAGGGTTAACCCTTTCTGCTGTAAACATAGCAGTTTCAGAGAAACTGCTATGTTTACTTTAGGGTAAATCCAGCCTCTAGTCTCATTGACAGCCGCTAGAGGCGCTTCCGCACTTCTCACTGTGACTTTCACAGTGAGAAGACGCCAGCATCCATAGGAAAGCATTGAGAATGCTTTCCTGTGGACTGGCTGAATGCGCGTGCGGCTCTTTCCGTGCATGCGCATTCAGCCAATGACGGGGTAAGGAGGAGGAGAGTCTCCAGCACCGAGGGAGCCCAGCGCTGGAAAAAGGTAAGTGTTTAACCCCTTCCTCTCCATCCAGCCCGGCGGGAGTGGGACCCTGAGGGTGGGGGCACCCTCAGGGCACTATAGTGCCAGGAAAACGAGTATGTTTTCCTGGCACTATAGTGGTCCTTTAACTGAAGGCACTTGTTTATGCACAGCTCTCTTACAGGGACACTATAGGCACCCAGACCACTTCAGCTCATTGAAGTGGTCTGGGTGCAGTGTCACAGGTCCCTTAATCCTGCAGTAGTAATTATTGCAGTTTTTAATAAACTGTAATAATTACCTTTGAGGGTTAACTACTCCTCCAGTGGCTGTCTACCAGAGGGGTTGCAAGGGAGCTTCCCTTTAAGGACCCCACTATAGCTTCCCTTTAAGGACCCAGCACAGCATATCAATTGGGTTGGAGTCTGGACTTTGACTGGGGCATTGCAACACCTTGATAATTTTCTTTTTCAGACAATCTGTTGTAGATTTGCCCTGTTGCATGGCCCAATTTCAGCTAAGTGTAGTTGTTGGCTTCTTATTTGACTCTAGAATACTGTGGTATAGCAAGGAATTTGTGATTAACTCAATGACTGCAAGATTCCAGGTTCTGTGGCTGCAAAACAAGCTCCAAGTAATCACCCCTCCATCATCGTACTTGACAGTTGGTATGAGGTGTTTGTGCTGATAGGCCGTTTTTCATTTTCGTCAAATGTGGTGCTGTGCATTATGATCAAACATCTCCACTTTGGTCTCGTCTGTCCACAGGACATTGTTCCAGAAGTCTTGTTGTTTGTTCAGATGCAACTTTGCAAACCTAAGCAAAAGCGATGTTCTTTATAGAGAGAAGAGGCTTTCTGCTGGCAACCCAAATATATCAACAATTTGTTTTAAACAAGACTTGTTCAGTCTTTTTCTAATTGTACTGTCATCAACTTTAACATTTAACATGCTAACCGAGGCCTGCAGAGTCTGAAATGTAACTCTTAGCTTTTTGTTTGCAATTTCTCTGAGTATTTCATGGTCTGACCTTGGGATGAAGTTGCTGGCACGTCCACTCCTGGGAAGATTGACAACTGTCTTAAATGTTTTCCACTTTTGAATAATCTTTCTCACTGTAAATTGAGGAACTTAAATATTTTTTTTTGGAAATGGCCTTATAACCCTTCCCAGTTTGATGGCCCGCATCCACAATTGCCTCTCTAAGATCAATGCTGATGTCTTTCCTCCTTGGCATTGTATTAACATACACCTGAGTGCTCGAGACGAGCAAACTGCTAATTATTATGTCCTGTTATATAAAACCATAGAATTCAAAGAGTATATACTTTCTTTTTCAAATGACTATTTATACGTAAGCATGTGGCACAGTAATTTGAGCCAATTTAAGTTATTCAACAAACTTTTTTCTGAGCTAATTTTACATTTTTGATTCAAGCTAAGCTAAGCTTTTTATGTTGTATGTAAGTATATACATGGTTTATGCTAATTATGACATGTTAAAGTAACTGATTTACAAAAAGAGACTGGGTACATTATAGACAAGTTACAATTTAATATAACTGCTGATTTAAATTTTCAAATGTAGAAAATAAATATTGATCCAGGCACTCAAGGTTAAAAGTCAAAATAGCAGCTTTATTTAGAGCTAAACACAGCAATGTTTCGACCCAGCAGGGACTTCGTCAAGCTTGACCAAGGGCACCGTGGAAGCCAGAAGATTGAAGTATCCATTTTCTTTTCTATATTGATTTAAATTTTCATGTCATTATTTTCCTTTAACATAGTGGCACAAATAAAATTTGACCCAAGTCAAAGCAAATATGTAGCCACTGTATACAAACCTTCAAAACTTTCAGAGATTGTTGATTTAAAAACAACAGCACTTTATTTCAGTTCAGAGGGTTTCTTGAGAAACGCAAAAGCCATCAATTTACAAGCATGCAAAGATAGTTTAATCAATCAGATTATAATTATAAATACAGATATACCGTATTTATCGGCGTATAACACGCACCGGCGTATAACACGCACCTCATTTTAAGAAGGAAATTTCAGGGAAAAAAAACTTAAAGGACCACTATAGTGCCAGGAAAACGAGTATGTTTTCCTGGCACTATAGTGGTCCTTCAAGTTTTTTTTCCCCTGAAATTTCCTTCTTAAAATGAGGTGCGTGTTATACACCCTCAGGGACCCCCTCCCGCCGGGCTCTGGAGAGAGGAAGGGGTTAAACACTTACCTTTCTCCAGCGCCGGGCGGGGAGCTGTACTCCTCCTCTCCTCCTTGCTCGCGACGTCATCGGCTGAATGCACACGCCCGCATTCAGCTGGTGATAGGAAAGCATTTACAATGCTTTCCTATGGACGCTATGCTCTCTCACTGTGATTTTCACAGTGAGAAGCACGCAAGCGCCTCTAGCGGCTGTCAATGAGACAGCCACTAGAGGCTCTGGAGGCTGGATTAAAGTATAAACATAGCAGTTTCTCTGAAACTGCTATGTTTATAAAAAAAAGGGTTAATCCTAGAGGGACCTGGCACCAGCACTACTATTGCTGAAGTGGTCTGGGTGCCTAGAGTGGTCCTTTAAATTTTAAATAAAGAACTTCTTACCCCCCTTTCTTACTCCCCCCTCCCCCTCTTCTTACTTCCCCTCCCCCTCTTACCCCCTTCTTACTCCCCCTCCCCCTCTTCTTACCCCCCTTTCTTACTCCCTCCCCTTTCTACCCCCCTTTCTACTCCCCTCCCTCTTACTCCCTCCTCTTAATTTCCTACTCTCCCCACTCCCCCCTATTCCCCTTCTTACCCCCTCCCTCTACCCTCCCTCTTCTTCCCCTCCCTTCTTGCTGCCCCTTCCCTCTTGTTAGCCACCCTCCCCTCTTGTTAAACCCTCCCTCTTGTTAGCCCTCTTCTTACCTCCCCTCTTGCTGCCCCCTTCCCTCTTGTGCCACCTCCCTCTTGCTCCCCTCTTTTTCTTCTCCTCTTTCTACCTCCCCCTCCTTTGCACGGCTGCTTGCTGTCTCGCGTGGCCGCCGCTGGATGTGAAGGTTACGCCAGTGTTTGCCTTCCTCAGTACAGAAATAGAAACCCTGTTCCGCAGAACACGACTCCTGTACAGCCGAGACAGGAACCTGTACACTCGACCGAACATACCTATCAGTCCAGCCGCCACCAGACAGCAGAGCGGCTCGGCCACGCTACAGGGGAGGTGAGTACCAACTGCAGCCGCCTGACCGCTCTTGACAGAGCGCTCAGGCGGCTGCAGAATTTAAAGGGCCGGCGTATAACACGCACCCACAATTTCTCCCCTATTTTCAGGGAGAAAAAGTGCGTGTTATACGCCGATAAATACGGTATATGTAAAAGACTTCATTTTTGTTTACTTAATAATTATAGGTTTCTCCTAAACTATAAATGAACACAATTTACAATATTATTGAAAATCAACATATTTCTTACTTAGCAGAATTGAGTATTTAAGTAAATGTATGGGAATAATCCACAAGCATTTTTTCCAGTTACCATAACAACTGAAGACAAGTGATTTCTGACTTTACTTGGCCTTCGTTATTGATTATTTAAAGAGATATTTATTACATACTTTTTTTTCCTGAAAAAGCATGCTATAACAAATCCTTTCTTAGTTTAAAGTGATGCTTTGGGATCTGAAGAAAGCAGAGATGGCAATACAGGACTTACCCGTAATTAAATTGCTATGAAAAATGAAACAATGATTTTCTTGTTTATTTTCTAAATTATAAAAATGGAAAAATCCTCACCTGCGTCTTGACATTCTCTTGGAATAGTGGTAAGGAGTCACGACAGAGCAGTATCTATCCAGACTGATGAAACACAAAGTAACGATCGATGCAGTGCAGAACATAACATCAAACGAGATCCACACTTTACAGAACTGCTTCCCGAACAGCCACATGCCTGTCACTTCATAAATAATGCTGAAAAATAAAACAGTCAAGACTTCAGAGTGTGGACTATACAAGACATTAATACAGTGAAATGATCAAGCCTGTTGCTTTGCAAAAATGTGTATGCATGTTTACCTTCATTACGTATTACAAAATTATGCAAAATACGTTTAGCCCATAAAGCTCAAATTACTCCAGCGTTGATTTTCAACCTGTAGAGAACACACTTATCTACAAAACCCATTGATGGATCCACATCAACTGAGCATTGAAGGCAGAAAATACATTTATTTAGACTTTTTTGGCAGGGCAAAAGTAAGAAAGTTAAAGAATCAGAACTTGAATGGATAAGTGTAAAAATCTTTTTATGTACTTTTTTCTATATTTTAGATTTCTTGGACCCATTCACAATTATAAGTGTGAGGGGGTCGATAGGGATATATTGTGGGGGGTGGCAATGGTCTTACCTACCCCTAGCCTGCAGGGAGTGTGGGACAGGACATGCTGTTTATTTGAACATAGAAGCCTAGGAGACTATTTAGGCCTTTTTTTGGCCCATCATTTTTATATAAAAAGACCCAGGAGACTAAGTGTCTCATAGGCTCCAATTATTACTCTTTACCCTTCACCCTAGTACAACTGGAGTGAAGGGTAAGGCATGGACCATTGTTGGAAACCAAAGGGGCCCATTCTTTTTTTTAACAAAAAACAGAAAAAAACTAAGCAAAAAACAAAAACAAACTATATTAATATAGAGGGTTGAATAGCTATGCGTGTGTCAGCTGATCTGCACTCTGTACTGGTTAACATGACTTTTGTCTATTTTCCACCAGGCAGAGACAGGTTTTAAACTTTTAGTGACTGCCATTTAACTGTACTGACAAGGTGAGAAACCAATCACAAAGTAGAGAGTAAAAGCTCCTCACCACCTTGCCCCTCTCTTTCTCAACCACACCTAGGTCAAGCCTTTTCTTACCCTTTAGACTTTCTCCCAGGCTACTGAACAAGAGGTGGCTATGCTTCTACTTTCCTCTCGACCCATCTCTTGCCTGCTTAATCCTGTACCGTCTCACCTTATCAGGTCTCTCTCCTATTGTCTTGTGTCTTCCTTAACACACATCTTCAACTGTGCTCTCTCTCTTCTGGTTTTGTTCCTGCTGTCCTTAAACATGCTACTGTAGTACCAATCTTAAAACCCCCATCTCTTGACCCGTCCTCGCCTTCTAACTATCATCCCATATCCATGCACCCTTTTTCCTCAAAGCTTCTGAAAAGGCTTGTCCTTACCCATCTGACTTGCATCCTTAATTCCACCTCTCTCCTTGACCCGCTTCAGTCTAGCTTCCACCCCCTCCACTCTACTGAGACTGCTCTTATTAAGGTCCCTAATGACCTAATCACAACTAAATCCAAAGGGCACTACTCTATACTAAGTTTTCTTGACCTCTCTGCTGCCTTTGACACTGTTGACCATGTTCTCCTTCTCCAAACTCTTCAATCACTCGGTCTCTGTGACACTGTCCTCTCTGTTTTCCTCCTATCTCTCCCAACACTCATTCAGTGTCTCCTTTTCTAATGATACCTCCTACCTTTTTGTCCTGTCTCTGTCGGAGTCCCCCAAGGTTCTGTCCTTGGTCCCCTTCTATTTTCTCTTTATACTGCCTCTCTTGGAAAATGTATTACCTCATTTGGATTCCAATATCACCTGAACGCTGATGACACTCAGATATACTTCTTCTCCCCAGACCTCTCTTCTGCTGTCCTGCAACATGTTACTGCTTTGCTTTCTTCCATCTCTGTTTGGATGTCTTCCCGCTTTTGAAACTCAATCTCTCTAAAACCGAACTCCTTATTTTTCTTACTCCTAATACCGATTCCCCTCTTTCGCTCTCCCTTCAAGTGAGTGGTACCTACAACAGTCCATCTTTGGCATTATACTTGATTATGGCCTCCCATTTGAGCCTCACATCCAGTCTGTTACAAAATCCTGTAGATTCCACTTTAAAAACATAGCCCGCATTAACCCCTTTCTAACAAAAAATGCTACTAAGGAGCTTGTCCATGCTCTAGTAATCTCTAGCATTGATTATTGTAACTCTCTCCTAATAGGTCTTAATTATAAGGAACATTCTTGAGCCATACTGGTAGATAGCAACTTTCTTTTAAGATGAAACTATTTACATCTATGTCTGAAAAGTGAGTTTTTTTTTTTTTTTTTTTACTATATTTGAGTCTACGTAAATGGTCAGGTCTAAGAATTCCACTGATGTACTACTATAAACTGTGTTCAATTTCCCTCCCCAAGTGTTGTCATTCACATAGTGTAAGAATTGATGCAGAAAACGTCATCAATGTATCTTTTACAATGGTGAATGTTCTTATTCCAAAGATGCGTATTCCATATATAGTGTTCTTCCCAGTCTCCCATAAAAAGAATTGCAAAGCTTTGGGAAAATTTAGTCCCCATTGTTGTGCCATTCTTCTGTAAATAAAAATGTTTATCAAACCAGAAATAGTTATTTTTCAATATGAATGATATACCTTTAATGCTAAACGATATTTGAGATTCCTTTAGATCTCCAGTTCTTTTGAGAGCAGTTAACACTGAGTTGCACCCTTGTACATGATCAATAATGGTATACAGTTATGATACATCAGTGGATACTAGGATATAATTATCTTGCCAATTTACAAACGCAAATTCATAAATCATTTGTGTAGTGTCCTTTAGGTGCAATTTGACCTTATATACTTAAGGTTGTAGGAATGAATCAACGTATTGTGACAGATTGGAAGTGATGGAATTGATTCCCGAGACAATTGGTCTTCCCGGTGGTATTTCCACATTCTTGTGTATTTTCAGCAATAAATAAAAGACAGAGTTCTTTGGAAAAGTAACATTCAAAAATCTAAATTCCAAGTCTTTCAAAATTCCTGCATCTTTAGCCTTAATTATTATTTCCTCGAGTTCTTCTTTCATTTTTATAAGAGGATCTTTATGAAGTGTTATATACGTTTCCGGATCGTTCAATAGTCTGGTTGCTTCATCCAAATAATATTCTTTAGACATTATTATCAATCCTCCCTCCTTGTCTGCTGGCTTAATGACAATTTCGTTATTTCCCATCAGGTCATCCAATTCTTCTCTTTCTTTTCGTGTCAGATTATTGTCCGGATACTGTTTAAATTTCATTTTCCTGATGTCATCACTCACTAATTCTTTGAAAATTTTCATACCAGCTGAGACACAATTGACAGGAAAGAAAGTAGATGCAGGTCTCAGTTGGCTGTGCTTAACCCCTTAAGGACCCATGACATGTGTGACATGTCAGGATTCCCATTTATTCCAGAAGTTTGGTCCTTAAGGGGTTAAATTAACTTTCTGTTTCTTATTCTCTGGAATCTGTTCAAAATATTTCTTTATAATTAATTTCCTGATAAATCTTTCGACACCTATAGTAGCATCGAATTTGTTAATATGTACAGTGGGGGCAAATTTTAGTCCCTTATTTAGTGCAGAAATATGTTATGGGAATAATAATAATGGAATGCCAGCCAGGTTGAATATTCCTAATGTTCTTCTTCCTCCTCTATTTCTTCTATGCTTTCTTTCCTTTAGTTTTTTTTGGGGGGTTAACTTGATGAAACCACACCATAAATTCTCTTGAGTTCTTCCCTAAAAACCTCCTCTCTTGATGGATTATGTTTTTCTGCTTCTACCACCACTGTATTATTCCTAGAAAGAGGTATGTTCACATTCTCAGTGTTCTCTCGTCTTGGGCTATCTGCAGTTTGTCTTGTCTCCACATTTTAATTTCTATGCATTTGTTTTGTAAGTACTCGTTTACATCTCTTGGCCACTCACACCCTGATTAGTCTGGTGGTATCAGAGAAGGCAAGAACTCTCCCAACCTAGATGCCAAGATTTTTATAAGTAACTTGATATCCGAATGTAAAACCTAAATTAGTCTGTTGATAGCACAGGCTCATTGGGTCTTTTGTGTTCTTTTGCAAAAATGGGTAATTTTCAAAGATCAGTGATGATGGTGGTAACCCTTCACCCTCCATTATATTATCGAGACTTGCAGAAATCTAGGTGCCAATATATATTTAAAATCATATCACTGAGCTTGGGAAGACCAACTAAGTAAAGGCTATTTGCTTTCCATTATTACCTAGCCTTCATTGTGAGTCACTTTATTAATGTCACTTACAAATATGTTCCAATAAGGGGCATTGGGAGGAGGGGCTTATCTAAGCTAGAGCCCTAAGTAGACACCATGAAAGCCTTGGGTCTCTAAAATGCACTTTACCATTATTAGCACAGTCCCAGGTCTTTGGACTGGCTAGCTTCATATCTTCAGTTCAAACAATTGAAGCCTGTTGGCATAGCATTGCTCTGATACTAGGAGTCTAGAGATCATGAGAGCCATTACATGAGCAAAGGCTGAGAGTAAAAAGCAGAGGCTCTATACACTGTACCATCAGGGAGTGGCATGATGTTCCCTCTCTCTACACACACACATTATATCCCCTTTACAAACATTGCATCCTCTACACACATGCTACATGCACCGCACTGTCTGTCTATGCCTGTGAGTACCTGTCTGAGTGTGCATGTCTATGTGAGCCTGATGGTGATGGCATATGCCTGTCTGTGTAAATATGTGTCAAAGGCTTTCTGTGCTTGTGCATGTCTTTGTGTGTCTGCCTCTCTGTGTCTTTATGTGAGATTGTGTATCTGTGTGTGTGTCAGTAAGTAACCGTGAGTGTGCCAAGAAACTTGTTTAGTTGTGGAATTAGGGAGGGGCCTGGAATAGAATTGAGGAGGGATTTCAGGAAGGGGTCATCACTTGATGAAGAATGAAAAAGGAAGATACTGAGTCTCGCATGTTAAGCAGAGACTCCTGTGAGCCACCACATATGGGAAGAGCTGAGAACCCTAACTCATTGATTTTAGTATATGGCAAAAACAAGTTACACAATGAAAAAAAGGCAAATACGAAATGCTTCAAATGGTGAAAAGTAATTCTATATACAAATATTATTTATGGTGAATAAACGCACTCTATAAAATGTGACCTTCAGTACAATCCATGATTAAACAATTTAGTATCCCGTATTTGCTTTGCCAAAGCAGCATCGTTCTAAGGATTAAGTTGTGTGCCTTGGGACAAGCCTTTATGTTTGCTCAATATTAAAGAGAGATCAATCGCACATGGAATAAAATATTAAACGAACAGTGAAAAGCGGTCACAAGCCCTACCACGGTTTTTGTATTCACGTTTTTTTACAACAACTTTTACAAATAAGCTCAAGCATGGATATCTTCCCCTGATTTCTAATACAGATATAGCACACTATATATTGCAGATCATTTGGAAACTTCCCACAGATCACTGTCTTGCGATTTATATTCCACGTCTTCCGGACACAGCTTCAAACATCAAGAAACAAGAAAAGAAAAAAATGTTTATTTTGATATAGAGGCTGCTCTGATGCCCAATCTTGTTCTCCTTTCATTTTATAGATTAATCTTTAAACATAACTTTGCCTCTTCTATTGCAATTAAAGTTATTTTTGACTCATATACAGGAGTGAAAGTTATCCACTGAATCATGAATGGCAGTGAATTCACAGAGGAATTGCAAATTTCCTTCCAAGATAGAGGAACTGAAGAAATTCTCCAAATGCAAATTTGCTAAAAAGAGTATGGTAGAGAAGTTTCAACTGGATTGCAAAATTCATCTACTTTGTCAGTTTTTAGATAACCACCATTTGAATATATCCACTACATTTCTCATTTAGCTATTTAAAATGGACTTAATTCACAATTTCCTGGTGAATCCCCAATAATTCTCATCTCAGTTTAGCGAATAATCAGTTGGGTAATTGAAAATCAGATGTTGGATCCCACATGTTTATGCGATTTGTATGAATTAATTGTCAACTACAGATTAGCAAAGGTGTGGTTGGAATGACATGCAAAGTTGGGCAATCAGACATGTATCAAATGCTGCTGATCTGAATCGGAATTATTTATTGAATTGCGTTCAAACTGTCACAGCTTGAAACAGATTCAGAGATTTCTGTTCACCTGATTTCTGCAGGTCAATGAGTAGAACTTCATAGCTTGTTAAATAATAAATAATCTAGGATGACCCAGAAGTATTAGAACTATATGTCCTTTAACCCCTTAAGGACCAAACTTCTGAAATAAAAGGGAATCATGACATGTCACACATGTCATGTGTCCTTAAGGGGTTAAAATAAAAAATAATCGCATGATATGTGTTTGAATCAAATATGAAATACGTGTTTGGGGAGTGTAAAAATTAAAACAAAAAAATTTAAATCTACTTATATATCTTGCAATTGGCTGCCTCCCATTTTTTTTTAGCTGTCAATCATCATTGTAATAAGATCTGTCATTTGTTCCTGGCAGTCATCATACAGGGAAGAGGAGAAATGAAACATTTGCAATGTTTGCCTTGTCTGAACTGGATTATGGTCTAATTTACTAAACTTTCAATATAAATTTAAAAGACTATGGAAAATCTCATGAAAAGATTAGAAAATAAAAGTTACAAGTGATTTTCAATTTTTTAATCAATCGTTTAAATTCCAAAGACATGATCATCCTTCTTTAAGTAGAGCATGTCTAGAAACATTTTCTAGGTTTTACATAGATCTACTTATTGAATTAGACAAACTTTAAGATATTTATCCTGAGGATATTTTAATCATATTACAATTGGATTGTACTGCAAGGGAAGGGAATCAGCATTATCAGAGATAAATGGGGATAAGTGCAATTATTTATAAAACTAACACTAATTCCAACCTAGTACTAATACAAGGTACAAATTATCCATAAATAGAGCATTTATGAATTTAAGCCTACATACACTTGTTTCCTTACTAACCAATAAAGTGATCCTGCTGGGTGTCTCAAGTACCAAATAACAAAAAACACACCGATCACAAATGAAAGAATTTGTAAGAAGGCAATAATGTATTAATTCTTACAGTTATTAAGTCCTGTGGTCAACCCGTGCTTGCTTCCCAACATGCTGGTACAGGAAGAGAGTAGGTGAGGTAGGAAGTTCTTAGGACATCCTCTCTGAACATGTGTGTATGAGGCCAACAAACAACACAGCATTCTGTCATTCTGTCATTCACAGAACTTCACTGAAACACATTTGGATCCTTGGAAGTCCCCTATTACAGTATGAGAGCATTTAATAACATGTTTTATGGGAACAACAGACAAAAAGAAACCCACTGGGCAATGGGTCAGGGGCCCAATTACAAGCCAGTCCTGTTTGATTCAAGAAAATGTGCTAGTTTGTTATTGCTTTCTCATCCTTTAATTAAAATCACATAAACAGGCCACTAAATAATAATAAAAATAAGAAATAAAGCAATAAAAAAAAAATCTTCACATCCTGGTAGTTGTGGAAATTTTGTTTGTAGGTTTGCACAAGAATGCATGTTAACATTTATCGTCAGTCCCATTTTGTAGGAGAATGCAAGCTGGATTGTAGTTGCCAGCCAATCACAATGCTTCATTAATTTCCCTTTGGCTCCAGAGTAAAGATCAATAGTGTGGCAGATGTCATTCATATTAAGATGAATAAAAAAACGACATAACACTGACATTAGACTGTAAGATTATTTGAACAGAGCCCTCACCATGTTATGTTCCTGTATGTTAAACTCATTTTTTAATCCACCTATTCCACAGTGCTACATAATATACTGGAGTTTTATAAATAATAATAATAATAATAATAATTAATAATTTAGTTTATGTATGGTAAAAGAATACAGCATATACAGGGAGTGCAGAATTATTAGGCAAATGAGTATTTTGACCACATCATCCTCTTTATGCATGTTGTCTTACTCCAAGCTGTATAGGCTCAAAGCCTACTACCAATTAAGCATATTAGGTGATGTGCATCTCTGTAATGAGAAGGGGTGTGGTCTAATGACATCAACACCCTATATCAGGTGTGCATAATTATTAGGCAACTTCCTTTCCTTTGGCAAAATGGGTCAAAAGAAGGACTTGACATGCTCAGAAAAGTCAAAAATAGTGAGATATCTTGCAGAGGGATGCAGCACTCTTAAAATTGCAAAGCTTCTGAAGCGTGATCATCGAACAATCAAGCGTTTCATTCAAAATAGTCAACAGGGTCGCAAGAAGCGTGTGGAAAAACCAAGGCGCAAAATAACTGCCCATGAACTGAGAAAAGTCAAGCGTGCAGCTGCCACGATGCCACTTGCCACCAGTTTGGCCATATTTCAGAGCTGCAACATCACTGGAGTGCCCAAAAGCACAAGGTGTGCAATACTCAGAGACATGGCCAAGGTAAGAAAGGCTGAAAGACGACCACCACTGAACAAGACACACAAGCTGAAACGTCAAGACTGGGCCAAGAAATATCTCAAGACTGATTTTTCTAAGGTTTTATGGACTGATGAAATGAGAGTGAGTCTTGATGGGCCAGATGGATGGGCCCGTGGCTGGATTGGTAAAGGGCAGAGAGCTCCAGTCCGACTCAGACGCCAGCAAGGTGGAGGTGGAGTACTGGTTTGGGCTGGTATCATCAAAGATGAGCTTGTGGGGCCTTTTCGGGTTGAGGATGGAGTCAAGCTCAACTCCCAGTCCTACTGCCAGTTCCTGGAAGACACCTTCTTCAAGCAGTGGTACAGGAAGAAGTCTGCATCCTTCAAGAAAAACATGATTTTCATGCAGGACAATGCTCCATCACACGCGTCCAAGTACTCCACAGCGTGGCTGGCAAGAAAGGGTATAAAAGAAGAAAATCTAATGACATGGCCTCCTTGTTCACCTGATCGAACCCCATTGAGAACCTGTGGTCCATCATCAAATGTGAGATTTACAAGGAGGGAAAACAGTACACCTCTCTGAACAGTGTCTGGGAGGCTGTGGTTGCTGCTGCACGCAATGTTGATGGTGAACAGATCAAAACACTGACAGAATCCATGGATGGCAGGCTTTTGAGTGTCCTTGCAAAGAAAGGTGGCTATATTGGTCACTGATTTGTTTTTGTTTTGTTTTTGAATGTCAGAAATGTATATTTGTGAATGTTGAGATGTTATATTGGTTTCACTGGTAATAAATAATTGAAATGGGTATATATTTGTTTTTTGTTAAGTTGCCTAATAATTATGCACAGTAATAGTCACCTGCACACACAGATATCCCCCTAACATAGCTATAACTAAAAACAAACTAAAAACTACTTCCAAAAATATTCAGCTTTGATATTAATGAGTTTTTTGGGTTCATTGAGAACATGGTTGTTGTTCAATAATAAAATTAATCCTCAAAAATACAACTTGCCTAATAATTCTGCACTCCCTGTATATATATATATATATATATATATATATATATATATATATATATATATATATATATTTTTTATTATTGGTACCTTACATAAACTCACCTTTTCTCCTGTTTACTTGTACTGCATCCACATTAATTTAGCAAGGTTATTTTGCAAAAACTATAATTTAAAATTTCTTTCTCAGAAACTATAAAATATTGGTACATGCAATTATGCGTCTGAGGAAACATATAAGACATAACTCATAATTACATAAACAGACTCATGCTGGCACTCATTATAGAATATGAAAACAGAACAGCTCATATTGGAATGGTAATGAACCATAAAATAGCTCCTGATGGCTGAACAATATTTAAAGTAAAATTTGTGGGCTTTTAAGTGGACCTAACAACTAGACAAAGCTAATCAACAGACCATTAAATGCGTTAAAGGGTCAGTCCAGGCGCAACATGTAAAATATTGTATCAGGTAGAAAAAGACAGCTTGAAAGAAAGCTATAAAACTCTTACACCATGCATCTAAGCCATTGTCTCATGAGAACAAGCGGGATGCATATAGCCATTAATTTCCATAAACTCTGTAAATAATTGTCTCAAGTAAGGTGTCTATCTACCCTAGTGCAGGCTACTATTCACTTAAAAAACAAATGAAGATTGGAGGCTTGTGTGATTGGAAACAGCCAGAGTTTTTCCCATAGGTGTCTATTCACTGTGTTTATGATTTTGTAAAACATGAGGCTACTAGGGTGTACTTATAGCTCGCTGGGCAAATCCTCTCGTAGAGTGCCTCAGAGGTTTCATTAGAGTAAATTGTAAGCTTGCTCTAATCTACTCATTCTCCCAGTTTATTTCTTCGCCTGTTGTTCTGTTTTCCTCATAGTTAATCTTTCTCCTAAGATAGAATGCCAAGATGCACACAACTTTTACTGTTTTCCCTAAACTGAAATGCTGTGTTATTATAATTAAGAGCATTTATTAATGCTATCCCATGTTCTTCTAACGGTAGCAATATGTATTCAGGATCCTCTTCAGAAATGTTTAATATTTGTATTTAGGCGGTTCTCCAGGATTTTGTTCCATAACTGCATTCAGTCTGCTGTCTAAGTTTCTGTAAATGTTCCATAAGTGTATTCACAAAAGCAAGCAAGGGTCACACTCAGTTTCCAAGAGCCACAGGATCTTTAGCTGAAGCAGGGCCAGCAAATCCCTTACATCTGATACATAAAAACCTTCAGCCACTCACTGGGTTCAAATAAAGGTTTGTTTTATTGAATCATAATGTAAAGAACAATGTTTCAACCTTAACAAAGGTTTTTAAAAGAGATACAAGACATCTGTTAAGGGTGAAATGTTGGTCTTTGCGTTATGATCCAAAAAAACTGCTCTTCATTAGAACCCAGTGAGTGTATGAAGATTCTTTTTGGATGTACCAAAAGTGTATTCAGGCTGCTCTCCATGGTCCTGTAAATGTTCTATAAGGTTATTCAGATGCTCTCCATGGTCCTGTAAATGTTCTATAAGTGTAGTCAGGCTGCTCTCCATGGTCCTGAAAATGTCTATTAAAGGTTCACTGTAGGCACCCAGACTACTTCAACTCATTGATGTGGTCTGGGTGCTGTGTCCCTTTTGCACTTAGTGCTGCAATGTAAAACATAGAAAAGTAGAGAAGTAGTTTGTTATAATTTGTTGCAAGTTTTTTAAATTATAATTATTTTTGTATTCTTCACCATCTGCCAATATTATTTTGTCTAAACAAAATATTATAAGGCCTATATAAGCACTAATAATAAAAACAACAATAATAATAAAAGGTATGTGCTTATTTGTATTTTTACTTGGGGAGAAAATAAACCATGAGGTAAACAGTCAAAGGAGATAACAAATCAACACCATGGAGACCTCTATTTTGATGGACAAGAGACATTAAAATACTCTAAAAGTTTTGGTAGTAAGATGAATGATCATTCTACATAGTGCAGAATACAATCAGCATACATAGCTACCCTATGTTCTGAGGCATTATATATAAACAATTAATGTGCCATAGTTTTGTTTTTGTGTCACTGCAAAGATTCCAGTGGCAAGCAGGGCCGCCATCAGGGCATGACAACCATAACGGCTGTCATGGGCCCGGCGGTCCTGGGGGGCCCGGACTGCTCTGGCAGTCTGAGCCCCACATTAACATGTGCACAGATATATAGCGAATTTTGCTATATATCTATGCACTGAGGGCCCCCCTACCTGTAAATTGCAGCGGGTGGCCCAGCAGCACACTCTGTCCTCCTTCCAGCTCCTCTCTTTCTAACTCTCCTACGGCCACCAGCACACAGGCCGGTCTCGCGAGAGTTCGTCAGAGAGGAACTGGAAAGGAAGACAGTGTGTGCTGCTGGGCCCCTGTCTGCAATGTAACGCGGCTGGCTCTCTCCACTGGACCACCAGGAATGCGATCTCCCCCCTCCCTGGCAAGGTAAGAACCAGGGAGGGGGGAATAAAATTAAAATTTTAAATATACACAAATATTTTTTTTAAATACTCCCCTCCCCCCTACTTTACACAAACACTGCATCCTTACAAGCACACACACTACATTCACTGAACACACTCTGGACTACACACACACTACATTCACTAAACACACACACTACATTCACTAAACACACTCTGCACTACACACACACACTACATTCAGTAAACACACACACACACTACATTCACTAAACACACACACACTACATTCATTAAACACACTCTGCACTACACACTTCATTTACTAAACACACTCTATTCACTAAACACACACACTACATTCACTAAACACACTCTGCACTACACACACACACACACTACATTCACTAAACACACACACTACATTCACCAAACACACTCTGCACTACACACACACACACACACACACACACACACTACATTCACTAAACACACACTGCAGTACACACACTACATTCTCTAAACACACTCTGCACTACACACACTACATTCTCTAAACACACTCTGCACTACACACACTACATTCACTAAACACACTGCACCACACACACACACTACATTCACTATACACACATTACACTCACTACAAACACACTACATTTACTAAACACACTTTGCACTCACTACAAACACTGCATTCACTATACACACTCTGCATTCACCACAATCACACTACATTCACCATACACATTTTGCATTCACTACAATCACACTACACGACCTATACACATTTTGCATTCACTACAATCACTATACATACTTTGCACTTGCTGCAAACACACTACATTCACTATACAAATATTGCATTCACCACAATCACACTACATCCACTATATACACTGCATCCATGACGCTCATTCTACACCCACTATACACACACACACTTCATCCTTGTGGGCGGACTCGGGGCTGGCCCAGGGGGCCCAGATCTTGAGCTGTGTCAGGGCCCTAAAATTTCTGATGGCGGCCCTGGTGGCAAGGCAACAGTATAGGGAAAAACAGCAGACATTCTTGTCTAGTTCTCTTGCTAATGGTCGCTCTAATAGGAAGCAACACTTGAGCATGCAGTGGATTTTGGCATCATTTGAAGTGAGGAGATGTTGATTAAGTGCACATTAAGTGTGTTTTCTTTTGTTTTAATAGTTCCAGAATGGAATGAGCGTCCATGGGTTAGCTACAAATGTAATTTAAGGCAGGTGTATATGGTTCTGAGAGAAATACCTGTTTGAGAGATTTTACAGCATGTTTTGGTAAGAAATTTATTTTCATACCAAAACACGTCTAGATTATTTTATGCAGGCTGTGACATCTGTCATATATCCTTTCAGTTTTGGAACTTTGAGTTTGCCTTTAATATGCAGAATTTCATAGTTGCAGTGGGTATTAGTATTATGTTAGATTATAACTTTATTCAACTTGATCTTTATAAATGAACTTCTTTAATTTTGCTTTCCACACATTATTTATGTGTTAAGGCAGAACTTTTATATTAAAATGTAATAATTAATTTCCCACTTTTTCCTTTGTGGGAAGATAGTGATTTTATAGCATTTTATTTAACATATGGATTGCATTAATAAATGTAGCTGTTCCCTGAATAATGTGTTGATAACGGCCTGGTACAATTTTGGCAATAGTCCGCTGCTGTGGACTAAATCTTGCATGTAGTTCCTCAACAATAACATGAAATTAATCATGGCTCTATTAATCTGATTTAAAGTGCATAGGAGAGGCATCGATGTGCAGCTGTATAACAGATTGTGTAGTAAGCAATAAATTCTAATCCTGCACCCCATCTCTCACCCCTTAAATATATTATACTACATCTATCTGATTTGGAGTCAGAAAATATGTTGCTTTTGATTGTACTTACTGTTTCTTTTAAATTATAACACCTTAGTCATTTATTTTATCTGCATATTCACTTAGAATTGCAATACATGGAACTTTCTGATACTATATTTACAGGGAGTGCAGAATTATTAGGCAAGTTGTATTTTTGAGGATTAATTTTATTATTGAACAACAACCATGTTCTCAATGAACCCAAAAAACTCATTAATATCAAAGCTGAATATTTTTGGAAGTAGTTTTTAGTTTGTTTTTAGTTTTAGCTATGTTAGGGGATATCTGTGTGTGCAGGTGACTATTACTGTGCATAATTATTAGGCAACTTAACAAAAAACAAATATATACCCATTTCAATTATTTATTATTACCAGTGAAACCAAAATAACATCTCAACATTCACAAATATACATTTCTGACATTCAAAAACAAAACAAAAACAAATCAGTGACCAATATAGCCACCTTTCTTTGCAAGGACACTCAAAAGCCTGCCATCCATGGATTCTGTCAGTGTTTTGATCTGTTCACCATCAACATTGCGTGCAGAAGCAACCACAGTGTCCCAGACACTGTTCAGAGAGGTGTACTGTTTTCCCTCCTTGTAAATCTCACATTTGATGATGGACCACAGGTTCTCAATGGGGTTCAGATCAGGTGAACAAGGAGGCCATGTCATTAGATTTTCTTCTTTTATACCCTTTCTTGCCAGCCACGCTGTGGAGTACTTGGACGCGTGTGATGGAGCATTGTCCTGCATGAAAATCATGTTTTTCTTGAAGGATGCAGACTTCTTCCTGTACCACTGCTTGAAGAAGGTGTCTTCCAGGAACTGGCAGTAGGACTGGGAGTTGAGCTTGACTCCATCCTCAACCCGAAAAGGCCCCACAAGCTCATCTTTGATGATACCAGCCCAAACCAGTACTCCACCTCCACCTTGCTGGCGTCTGAGTCGGACTGGAGCTCTCTGCCCTTTACCAATCCAGCCACGGGCCCATCCATCTGGCCCATCAAGACTCACTCTCATTTCATCAGTCCATAAAACCTTAGAAAAATCAGTCTTGAGATATTTCTTGGCCCAGTCTTGACGTTTCAGCTTGTGTGTCTTGTTCAGTGGTGGTCGTCTTTCAGCCTTTCTTACCTTGGCCATGTCTCTGAGTATTGCACACCTTGTGCTTTTGGGCACTCCAGTGATGTTGCAGCTCTGAAATATGGCCAAACTGGTGGCAAGTGGCATCGTGGCAGCTGCACGCTTGACTTTTCTCAGTTCATGGGCAGTTATTTTGCGCCTTGGTTTTTCCACACGCTTCTTGCGACCCTGTTGACTATTTTGAATGAAACGCTTGATTGTTCGATGATCACGCTTCAGAAGCTTTGCAATTTTAAGAGTGCTGCATCCCTCTGCAAGATATCTCACTATTTTTGACTTTTCTGAGCCTGTCAAGTCCTTCTTTTGACCCATTTTGCCAAAGGAAAGGAAGTTGCCTAATAATTATGCACACCTGATATAGGGTGTTGATGTCATTAGACCACACCCCTTCTCATTACAGAGATGCACATCACCTAATATGCTTAATTGGTAGTAGGCTTTCGAGCCTATACAGCTTGGAGTAAGACAACATGCATAAAGAGGATGATGTGGTCAAAATACTCATTTGCCTAATAATTCTGCACTCCCTGTAATGTTTCTTGTTAAATTTCATGATTGCTGGAGTTTCCTGTGTTCCCATATATGTCTAATTGTTTACCTTATTTTTCCATTTTTTTCCTCTTTTGTACCCTTTCCCATAGCTGTTTAGCAATTGAATTATTTTTTTTTTTAATTAATAAAAATAATTTGAATAGAAATATCACAAGTGATAAAATATATATATTGCATATTCGATTCACATTAGATATGTGTTGTTGTCTTTGTCTGGGAATTCTGTACTGTGGTTACATATAAAGAGGGTATTCATACGTGTCCTTATATAGTTAGAGATTTAAGGAATTATGTCATTATGGTCATAACGATATAGAATAGTGGACAAAGAACCACAAGGCTTGTTGTTTATCTATCTCTGACTTTAAAGAGTTTATCTATCCCTTCCTAAATCCAGCAATTACCATCTGCTGTTGAACATCTTTCATCCTGTAGCATCCTCTGTTGTTTTATTATATATTAATAATTCAAGGCAGAATAAACCTAAAGAAAATGTAAGTTTGATGCATATGGGTATTTGCTAATCGACATCCCGATAAATGATAATATATAAGTATTTTAACATCATAGCAAACAATCCAACAAGGAAGAAAAAAGAAGGGAAATATATATTATAACAAGGAGCTTTTTCCTACAATACGCATGTATTATTTTACATGATGGGAACATTAAATTGGTTGGCTGCCAAATGTATAATAGTCATAGGTTAAAAAAGTTAAAAGAACACTCCAAGAACAATAACCTCTACAGAGCACTATACTGATTATGGTCACAGTAGTTCCCCGGTACACCGCTTCCCCCATTGTAAGGATTCAGACTGTTTTTAAACAGGGAAGGCAGTGCTCTCTGCTTCCATTACCATTTGCTAAGAGATGAATGTTCCTAAGAAGGAACTCTTATTAGCTCTTCTAAGTTAAGCCATGCATTGCACAATTTAGGAACTTATTGCTCTTGGTCAGTGGTAGTGGAGGCAGGGAGCAGCACCCAGTGGACTCCATGGAGTGGGAAAGGGTGCCAGGGAGTGTTCATGCCATTGTACAGAACACTGGTGAGACCTCACTTGGAGTATTGTACACAGTACTGAAGACCGTATCTTCAGAAGGATATTGATACCTTAGAGAGGGTTCAGAGAAGGGCTACTAAACTGGTTCATGGATTGCGGGATAAAACTTACCAGGAAAGGTTAAAGGATCTTAACATGTATAGCTTGGAGGAAAGACGAGACAGGGGGGATATGATAGAAACATTTAAATATATAAAGGGAATCAACACAGTAAAGGAGGAGACTATATTTAAAAGAAGAAAAACTACCACAACAAGAGGACATAGTCTTAAATTAGAGGGACAAAGGTTTAAAAATAATATCAGGAAGTATTACTTTACTGAGAGGGTAGTGGATGCATGGAATAGCCTTCCAGCTGAAGTGGTAGAGGTTAACACAGTAAAGGAGTTTAAGCATGCGTGGGATAGGCATAAGGCTATCCTAACTATAAGATAAGGCCAGGGACTAATTAAAGTATTTAGAAAATTGGGCAGACTAGATGGACCGAATGGTTCTTATCTGCCGTCACATTCTATGTTTCTATGTTTTCTATGTTTAAACGATTGTAGAATGTGAAGTCTGTATTTGCAGACATGCTGTCCTAGTGATCTTCTGAGGTTGACGTTTCTCAGAAACAGCAATGTTTTAGACACTCTGAGAGAAGGGACAACATGTATGCATCAGAACCATTTGATTAATATGTAGTGCTTTTGGTAATTAGAGTGTCTGTTTAATGTTTATTTTTTTTGTATAAATAAAGTACATTTTGTTAAAATGATAAAAATCCCATTCATCTCACTTCAGTTTCCCCTAACTCACAATATACAGTAATAATTTATTTTTAAGGGTGCCTTGTCATTAACACATTGAGTAGATGACACGTTCACATAAACTGAACACTGTGCTTTTAACAATTATAGTCATGATTGTTATTAGGCATATACATAATTCACCTTGTGCCATTATAATACAAAATATAGCTATATATTTTATAATAATCATTATATACATTCCAGAAAAAAATCTTTTTATCACCACAGTGTAGGCTGATACTTAATAATAGACAAGGACATGCTGTTTCAGAAAGCGTAATAATTCCATATTGGAAATTATTCTGTTATAATTATGGATATTAGGGAAAATAATTGCCAACCTCAGGGACTGTAAGAGGTTCTTGCCAGGTAGTGACGTAATAGGAAAATGCTGAAACTTTACTTTAGAGGGACTTGTTTTTTGCTTCTACAATAACACATACGATAAATGGAGTGAAAAAGCAACACACGCCTTGATAAAGGCAAAGGTGTAAATGTGATAATCTCCACTGTGACTATTTGCTTCTTTTTTTCGCTCTTTTTACATCTATATAAATGCTCCCTCTCCTTTCTGAGTTTGTAGCTATCCATGGAGTGATGCTTCTTCAACATTCTCTCTTTACGAAATCAGATTCGTTTTGTTTCTCCCATCTGCTTTAAGACCCAACGCCTCATGTAATGTACTACCAAAGATACTGTCTAAAGTCTGTTTGACATGGCATCATGCAGACTAGGATATGGATTGGATGCATTGGAGGTGACCTGTTTTTTTTCTCTCTCATGCTAGCATTGCAGTAACGGGGCAAGGTGGAAAAATCCATAAAAACCTGTTCCACTCTGTGCGTGATTTGAGGCTAGGACGGAGGTTCACCTTCCAGCAGGAAGCAACACTTGAGTGGTTTAAGGGGAAACGTGTAAATGCGTTGGAATGGCCTAGTCGAGGCTCATACCTCAATCCAATAGAAAATCTGTGGTCAGACTTAAAGATTGCTGTTCACAAGCGCAAACCATCCAACTTGAATGAGCTGGAGCAGTTTTTCAAAGAGGAATGGGCAAAAAGCCCAGTGGTAAGATGTTACAAGCTTATAGAGACTTATCCAAAGTCACTTGGAGCTGTGATTGCCACAAAAGGTGGCTCTAAAAAAGTATTGACTTTAGGGGAGGTAATAGTTATGTACATTGACTTTTTATGTTATTTTGTCCTATTTGTTGTTTGCGTCACAATAAAAACATTTTTAATCAAAGTTGTGGGCATGTTCTGTAAATTAAATGATGCAAATCCTCAAACAATCTATGTTAATTTCAGGTTGTGAGGCAACAAAACATGAAAAATGCCAAGGGGGGTGAATACTTTTGCAAGGCACTGTATGTGACAAAGCCCAGACAATAAACAAGACAGTAGCCAATTCAGCAGGAAAACTCAGTGTTACGACACGTACCGTCGGGTAGATGAAGCCGCCGTTTAGGCAATAATCCCCTTCTCCAGAAATGCAGTTTAAATCCAGCCGATCGCCAAACTCCCGAACGAAGTCCACGAACACGGCAACTCCCGATCAGCCAAACAGTCGAACGCCTTCCACAGCTAGAAATAACGAAAGCGCTGTCCCAGTAATAATTCCCCCACAAACGAGACCAAGCTCCGTCTTGAGGGTCAAATGAAGTTCTGTTTAATGGGGGCTACCTGCCCGGTATTTATGCAGGTCTCCACAAGGTGGACACTCCCCGAGGGGACCTTGTGGAAGACTGTAAAACATATTGGACAGTAGCCAATCGCAGTGGCTTCAATAATAGCCCTTCCCATCTGGCCCATAATTCCGTCTTCTCTACCTCGGAGATAATTGGGAAGAAACCTAATTATCTCTCAAGGTAGAGACAATCGCCATCTTGAAATACAATAACAAAAATACATTAAAATACATAACGACAGAAATACCGAATGCATATGGTTCGTGTAACGTATCCCCAGACAGCCTGGATCTGAGGGCATGTTTTCACCGAACAGCGCTCAGATCCGATGTATCTAGTCGAATCGCCATGGAGTCAAAGTCTTTCACCAGTCCTTCGGGATACGAATGACTCCATGGGATGGCTGTCGGGGTAAAAGTCCATACGAATGAATAAAACTCCCGAACGACCGACGTTCGCATGCCTTGTCGAAAAGGAAGGTAGGCAGCAGCTTTTCAGCGGTGTTCGGTAGTTTAAGTGTCCGTTTTTAGTTCCATACAGTTTGTACCGAACACCGCTCTGTGTTTGTATGTCCCAAAATGGCCGCTGCCTCGTGGTCGACATGCGAACGACGACCACCCATACGAATGGAATGGAGAGGTGTCTGCGGTTAACCACAACGTTCTAATTGGGGCCAAGAGGTTAACCAGCAGCACACTCCTCTCCTGGGTGGTCGTTCGTTCGGTAGTTTCAATTGGCATTTTGCAAATTACACGAACGGGGGTATATGAACAGGCAATTCCGCGAACAAAGGGAAACAGACGAACCAACAATGCAGATGAATCTGTCACACTCAGAATCCAGAAAAAAACAACAACACATGCTCAGAGCAATATACACACTAAGAGCCAGTAAACTAAGGGCCTAGGTTTACATGTATCTGGGTAACAAGGGACTACCAGAGATGCAGTAGGTCCTCCAAGAAAGCAGGATTGGTCAAGAGTCCTCTTGGTCCATTATTATAAATACCGTATATACTCGAGTATAAGTCGACCCGAATATAAGTCGAGGCCCTTAATTTTACCCCCCAAAAACTGGGAAAACTTATTGACTCGAGTATAAGCCTAGGGTGGAAAATGCAGCAGCTACTGGTAAATTTCTAAATAAAATTAGATCCCCCAAAAATTATATTAATTGAATATTTATTTACAGTGTGTGTGTGTGTGTGTATATAATGAATGCGGTGTGTGTGTGTGTGTGTGTGTGTGTATATAATGAATGCAGTGTGTGTGTGTATAATGAATGCAGTGTGTGTGTGTATATAATGTATGCTGTGTGTGTGTGTGTGTGTGTGTGTATATATATATATATATATATATAATGAATACTGTGTGTGTGTGTGTGTATATAAAATGAATGCTGTGTATGTGATGCAGAGTGTGTAACCTTGGTGGGGGGAGGGCATTTTTATTATTTATTTTTGTTATTATTATTTTAATATTAAATTTTTTTTAATTTTATTATAATATTATTTACATTTTTATTTTATTTTTTTCCTCCTCCCTCCCTGGTTGATACATGGCCCTGGAGGGGGGCTTTATTATTCCATGGTGGTCCAGTGGATGGGCTGTGCAGGAGGGGGGCTGGGAGTAAGCTGTTACCTTTACAGCAGCTCCGTTCAGCTCCCTTCTCCTCCGTGCCTTTCAGCTCCAGTGTAAATCTCGCAGTCTGCGTGCCACGCGGAGCGTTGCCATGGTAACCTTTGGCAACGCTCTGATGGCTGCGGCTCTTGCAAGACTTACACTGGAGCTGAATGGCACGGAGGAGAAGGGATCTGAACGGAGCTGCTGTAAAGGTAAGTAACAGCTTGCTCCCAGCCCCCAACAGGACCGCTGGGCTTGTAATGAGCCCGGAGGTCCTGGCCTGTATTATGGCAATGTAAGTTGCCATAATACAGACACTGACTCGAGTATAAGATGAGTGGGGCTTTTTCAGCACAAAAAATGTGCCGAAAAACTCGTCTTATACTCGAGTATATACGGTAATTGGAAAAATAGCTCTGATTTTCCCTGATTAATAGAGGGATCTACAGACCCTCTCAATTAAAGGAAAATAAGGAGCCCTGTCATTATCTTTAACAAAAAAAGCTGACACTTTTCATATTACCCTTAAAACACTTCAATACATTTGAATAGCTTTTTTAACCTACCAAAAAAGAAAATTTTATGAAGTATTTCTGTTTTTCACCATAGTGGACATTGATATAAAATGCAACATTTACCATTAGGGTACACTGTAGAGAATAAGAAGATTCCTTAATATCGTCTGGATAAATAAATATAAAAGAGAAAAACACAATATGATCTGGATAAATAAATATAAAAGAGAAAAACACACACATAGTGCAGTACCATAAAAATGTAATAACTTTTTAATGTTACTGCACTATTTGTGTATTTTTCTCTTTTCCCATTATGGATCAATCTGGTATAAAGACAAAAAAAGGTCTTACTGCTTAAAATGTAAGTACTGCCTGCAATCAATTTTCAAAGCTAATATATGGTGTTTTACAGTATTACACTATTGGTGGTTCCTTTTTTATTTTCTGCAGATTGTACTTTTATATCTATTAGTGGTGTGAATTTCTACAATTAATTTTATTTTTCACACCTCATAAATACATATTTGTTAAAATACAGAGGATGGATAAACATAATATTCAAAAACCTGATAAATGGGATAACCCCAAATGTATGTTATTTCTTTTGTTGTCCTGCAATAAACTTAGCACTGGTTGTGCACACTAGCATTTTGTAGCGCTGCTTTTTTTCCATTTCTATTGTATTAAAAATCCCGGGAAGAGACAGTTCCCCTTTAAGCAGCAAACTCTTTCCAATATATATTTTCCTTGAAACACTAAGCATTAATTTGCTAACTATTTAACAAAACAATTGCATGCTCTAAAGATATAAATGATTTGTTTGTAGGATAATTGGACTTGATGTAAAATCAATTGTTAGACTCTTTGAGCATATAAAATTCAATCTTTATGAAATCAAAGTTGTGTTAAAGCCAATCTTTTACAATAATATGCATAATTATTATAATGAAAATAAAGGAACACTTTAATTAAAAGATTCATCAAACTAAAAAAGAGCAAACTGATGAATGGAGACAGGAAATTCCATTAACAGTCATAGCTTGTACTATAAAAACAAGTTACATTCTGCACCTGAAAATGATGCACACAAACGAACACACAACACACACTTTTTCCACACACACAGACACACTGCATCCCCAGCACACACACAGATACAGTGCATCCCCAGCAAGCACACAGACACACTGCATCCCCAGTACACACACAGATACACTGCATCCCCAGCAAGCACAAGGACAAACTGCATCCACAGCACACACATAGACACACTGCATCCCCAGCACACACACACAGACACACTGCATGCCCAGCATACACACAGGCACACTGCATCCCCAGCATACACACAGACACACTGCATCCCCAGAATACACACAGACACGCTGCATCCCCAGCACACACACAGACACACTGCATCCCCAGCACACACACAGACATGCTGCATCCCCAGCACACACATAGACACACTGCATCCCCAGCACACACACACACACACTTCTTCACCAGCACACACATATACACACTGCATCTCCATCACACACACAGACACTCTGCATACCCAGCACACACAGACACTGCATCCCCAGCACACACACAGCCACACGTCATCCCCAGCATATACACAGGAACACTTCATCCTTAGCACACAAGCAGGCACACTTCATTCCCAGCACACACTTCCCCGCTACAGTCTGTAATGAATGCTGTTGCCAGACTGATTTTTCACTCCCAGTCGCTCCTCTCACACCTCACCCTTTTGTCAGTCCTTACATTAGATTCCTGTATCCTATAGGTATTAATTCAAAGTGCTAACCCATACCTATAAAGCACTGAACAATTCTAGCCCCTCTTATGTCTCTTCACAGATCCATAGGTATGCCCCTTCTCGGTCTCTCCGCTCTGTCCATGACCTTCTCCTGTCCGCTGCTCGCACCCGTACGGCAAACTCACACTTGCAGTACTTGTCACCGGCAGATCTTTTCCTTTGGACTAGCCTGAATACCACCATCAGACTCCTCCCTAGTCATTTATTTATGTTGGCGCTATATAAATGACAATAATAATCCCCAGCACACACATAGCTACACTAGATCCCCAGCACACATACAGATACACTACATCTCCAGCACACACAAATACTTCATCCCCAGTACACACACAGGCTCACTGCATCCCCAGCACACACACAGACACATAACGTATCTAAAGCACACACATAGACATACTGCAGTCAAGCACACACAAGCACACTGCATCCAAAAGCAGTCACTCAAACACTGCATCCCCAACACACTGCATCACCAACACACACACAATACATTCCCTACACACACTATATCCCCCATGTCATTCTACATCTCCAACATACACTGCATCATCAGCACACACAATAATATTCGATACACATACTGCATCATCAGCAAAAATACACCACCTTTCCTACACTACCTCCCAATGATGGAATCTGCTCAGAACAAACACCCACACTACAGAATCACAGACCTATTATTAATATACATACAAATTCCAAACGGCAGAAATATAAATTCTGGCCATCCAAAAACAGCCCATATCGAGACCATTATGATTCAAAACTAGCCCGAATTCTTACTTTGTTCATAAGCCAGGAGCTATTTACACACCCCACACTAGCAATACTTTTGAAGATTATCTGATAAAAATGCAACACTTTATTAACAGCTGTAACACAATTTTTTTTTTGTGTGTATACGTTGTTAACAACATTTTGTTAGCAAAACAACAGTCACAAAATTCCCAAACAATGCCTGACAGGGGTGTCAGGAGATGAGGACACATATACTGGGTCCTCTCTAGACACCTAATGCATCACCAGGACATGCAGAAAAATACACACTACATCTTCTACACACACAGATTGCAATATCAGCAAAATCACACTGCAGCCCCTACACACACTAACTTGCAAACACACACACTGCATCCCATATACACAAACTACATCCCCCACACATGCACTGCTCATTGGCTTGCTATACCATGTTTATGCATTAACAGCACTTACTTGCTGTAAAATACTTCAGGACTCATTTTACTAAATGCTTGCCTGCTTGGGGAGATTGCCCCAATTAAATACTGATGTCCAAGTGTCAGGTGGGCAGGGTTTTCTCTCTGGGCTGCTCTTCAACTGCCTTGTGCATTTATGTGCCCAAGTGTACAGCACTTTCATTCTTTCTATTCAATGATGTTTACAATTGTGTCTATCGCTGATGTTAATAGGTGGGTTAGTAAAATTGCACAATAGGCTACTAGGCCATGCCCTGCTCTGCCCCATCACCTGTCAGCCTTAGAAGCAGTAACTTTGTATCACAGATGTGCCCCTATGGAACGTGGGCCCCCAGGCCACTGGTTGCCTTGTGTATATTGAAGAGGGTACCCAGTGTACACTATCTTCAGAGTTAGAATCATAGAGAATGAGGAAAAAAAATACTCTTTAGTCATAATCCAAGTTCCCAGCTTCATATTATATTGTTTCTAAATAACACATCGCTACCAAGGTTTATATAACTTCCAACACGTTTTCACTAGGCTTTTATGTTTAGAGAAATCGTTTGCCCAAAAGAATGAAAGCTCTTTTTGCTCAGCTGAGTCATTCACTCCTGTAGTGTGAGAAATAATTTGGCTTTGTAGCCGCTTTGAATATTAAAGTGACAGCAGATGTTTCCAAGCACACACTGACAAGCCAGCATCGTTAAAGAACATGTCACCATTAGTGGCTATAAAGCCTTGAAATGTCTCTCTCCTTTTGTGTTCAAAGTTTGGGTCTGTTGACAAGCGCAATATGTTATGTTATTATATATTTTTTTTTTAATGAACTGACAATGATTATTAGAACACTGAAATATATACTGAGAGACTGAAAGTTAGTCTAGTAATAGCTGGATTTGATGAAACGATTATGTTTAACCTCTTCACCATCAAGCCATTTGCAAAACTGAAATTTTCCCCCATTTATTCCAATAATCCTCTCACATTGGTCCCATCTATTCCCTGTTCCAGATCTACTCAGTTTGTCCCTTTATTGTCCCTGTCATATTTGTTGCTGCTTACTACAACAGAGTCTCTTTGGACATGCACACACATATACACAGACACAAAACCACACACTGGCCATTTCACATTCTGACTGCTCCTCTGTTCATGGAGCAGACAGGAGGAGAAGAGGACACAATACACTTGCCTCACAGACTTTGCAAGGGAAGGGTGCCATGCATCCACCAGTACTATTGATGTAAAAAAGGGGTCAGGTTGAATGGAAGGCAGGCCAACACAGTGCTGTATTCAGAAAGCTAGTTTCTGTATTCAGCATTCAGAGGCTCATGGCATTATGGCTCCCTCTGTAGTGCTTATGGTGCAAGGAGTGCCCTGGCCCCATTCATCTGCCATGGGTAAGAAGGGAGGAGGGAGAGAGCCCTCGCTGCTCAAAGATGGTAAGGTAGGGTGAGGCAGTTCCTGCGTCCCTGTTTAATCCATTTAAGCCCTCTAGGAAATCAAGCTGGTTCCTTTCCAGTGGCACTTGACCAAAGGCAACATATGTCAAACAACTTTAGTACAGGCTGACAAATTACCTAAATCCCACTGGGATTGTAGTTTTCTTCTTTACTTAAATCAGGTTAGCTCTACTGAGAACCACAAGAGTAGACTCATCCTCGGCCCTACAGAGTAGGAAAGTAAAGGGAGGAGAAGTGTTTTAGCATGTGTTTGGCGTTTCATTCCACAGCAGCTGGAATGTTAGAAACAGGTCGTCCCTTTACACTCCAGCTGCTTTGTAACAAACTAAACCTTTTAATAAAATATTATCAGCATTAAAAAATTTCCACTGACCACTAGCTGATGGTGAGTGGAAATTCACCTCTAGTGAACAATGCCGTACTGGGAAAAATAATGTGGAGGGCCCAGGGGTGCTGTGTCATCACCAAGGACAAGCATGCCCCACTTACTATAATGTTCCTGTGCAGACCATGCGCAGAGCTCTGCTGAAGAGGTTTTGCATGAGAAAAAGACTCTGTATTTGTTCTGGACAGCTCAAGCAAATTTAATGACACGCTTGCGTAGTGTTTAGTGCCAGATTTACCCTTTATGCATCCCTAATGCCAGTTTCCTTATATATTATATTCTTTTTATAACACACACACATATATATATATATATATATATATATATATACACATGTGTGTGTAAAAAACAGATACCTTGTAATACCTTTTTATTGGACTAACAGAATTTTTTTAATGACAAGCTTTCGGGAGAACCTCCCTTTCTCAAGTCTGAAGCATTTCTGAGCAAGACGACACATCGCAGATAAGACACAGGTTTGATAGAAAATGGACACCGTTCTCACAGAGGGTCATAAATATCTTAGAAAAATTCTGTTAGTCCAATAAAAAAGGTATTACAAGATAAGAATTGTATCTGTTTTTGACATCTACATCGCTGGACTAATATGGCTACAATCTCTACTTGAACACTATATATATATAGACACACTGCCTGGCCAAAAAAAAGTTGCCACCTGGATTTAACTAAGCAAATAGGTAAGAGCCTCCTATTGGATAGTTACTGCATTGGCGATTATCTTTCAGCTGGAAACAAGCTATTTAACCCCTACTGATGCAACGAGTAGCTTCTCATTTCTTAAACAACAAAATGTCAAAAGAAACATTCCGTGGTCGTGGAAAAGATGTTAGTCTATTTGAGAAGGGTCAAATCATTGGCATGCATCAAGCAGAGAAAACATCTAAGGAGATCGCAGAAACTACTAAAATTGGGTTAAGAACTGTCCAATGCATTATTAAAAAATAGAAGGATAGTGGGGAACCATCGTCTTCGAGGAAGAAATGTGGTTGGAAAAAAATCCTGATTGATCGTGATCGGCGATCACTTAAATGTTTGGTGAAATCAAATCGTAGAAAAACAACAGTAGAACTCAGGGCAATGTTTAAAAGTGAAAGTAAGAGCATTTCCACATGCACAATACAAAGGGAACTCAAAGGATTGGGACTCAACAGCTGTGTAGCCTTAAGAAAACAACCAATCAGTGAGGCTAATAAAAAAAAGGCTTAAATTTGCTAAGGAGCATAAAGGTTGGACTCTGGAGCAATGGAAGAAGGTTGTGTGGTCTGATGAGTCCAGATTTACCATGTTCCAGAGTGATGGGTGCATGAGGGTAAGAAGAGAGGCAGATGAAGTGATGCACCTATCATGCCTAGTGCCTACTGTACAAGTCTGTGGGGGCAGTGCTATGATCTGGGGTTGCTGCAGTTAGTCAAGTCTAGGTTCAGCAACATTATGTGCTCAAAGAATGAGGTCAGCTCCCTACCTGAATAACTAGGTTATTCCATCAATGGATTTTTTCTTCCCTGATGGCACGGGCATATTCCAAAATGACAATGCCAGGATTCATCGGGCTTAAATTGTGCAAATAGTGCTTTAGGGAGCATAAGACATAATTTTCACACATGGATTGGCCACCACAAAGTCCAGACCTTAACCCCATTGAGAATCTTTGGGATGTGCTGGAGAAGGCTTTGCGCAGTGGTCCGACTCTCCCATCATCAATAAAAGATCTTGGTGAAAATTTAATGCAACACTGGATGGAAATAAATCTTGTGACATTGTAGAAGCTTATCGAAACAATGCCACAGCGAATGCGTGCCGTAATCAAAGCTAATGGCAGTCCAACGAAATATTAGAGTGTTTGACCTTTTTTTCAGGTGGTGACTTTTTGGGAGCCAGGCAGTGTGTATATATATATATATATATACACACTGCATATAATTATTATGATATACACTAATATACACATCATATATGTACACATGCATGATACTCCCAATTTAAAAGTACTGTTGAAATGAAATATGTCCTTTCCTAAGACACATGCATATTCACACACACACTCACCAATGGAGACACACACTAATTTACCCATGCATACACATACTCACTGCGTCTATCTTTGTGGGTGCCTGGCCCCCAGTCTCAGTGGGTTAAGGCTGGCTGGACTTCAATAAATAAAGAGCTCCACAGCAATAAAACTCACAAACTGCACCATGAATGTAGCAGTGTATTGGTGTGAATTGGAAATGTGTGAGTGCATGTTTGTGTGCATATATTTTGTGTGCAGAGCTGTGCGTGTGGAGAGTTGGTGTATGCATGTGAAAGGAGGGAGGAAGCACCAGTAATGTGATAGCTCTACCCACGTTTTTTTGATCGGCCCAGTGGCTCAGAGAATCTTAAGCTGTGCCACTTCACAGCAGGCCAGCAGCCTGCCGGGAAGGAGAACAAGCAGGTTAGTATTCTCCTTTTCGCAGGGGCTGGGCGCAGCACAGCTACTGCTCCATTAGCATGAGAATGGGCTGGCTGTTAAGGGAGATCTTTGATCCCCCCACCAGCCACGCTGCCCCACTCATGCCTGCCACCGCAAGGCCACAGCCTCGGTTGCCTTATGCGAAATCTGTCCCTGGCTGTGTTTGCTTGTGACTTGTCTCTGGTGTCTCCATAAGTTGGATACCAGATGTCACAAGGTGATGTAGTGAGTGTGAGAATATGGGCTGTAGTTTATGTGTGTATAAGTGATTTAGTATGGGTAGGAGCTGCATAGAGCTTTTGTTTAAGAAATGTAGTGTGTGTATGCATACAGAGAATCTAGCGTGTGCATAAGGGATCTGGAGTGTGTAGTTTGCATGTCATGAATGTAGTATGTGTGTGTGTGTAGGTGTGTGCAGTGGGTCTATTTGAGATCTAGTGTGTCTAGGGAATCCAGAGTGTGGAAAGGGGATCTAGTGTGTGTAGGAGATCCAGATGTAGTGTGTTTATCTGAAATTGTGTGTGTGCATAAGGGATGTAGGGTCTTTAGGGGGACCAGTGTGTGAAGGGCCTGTATTGTGTGTGAAAGGGTGAAATGGGAGCATATATATATGTATTTAGTTTATTATTAAAAAACAAAATGTAATATCCCCACTCCCTTCTTCTTGAAAATCCTGGTGGTTCGGTTGTAGTGAGCGACTCTAGCCTGCAACTCTTCTGGCTGCAGGAAGCATTCACTCGTCTCGCAAGCTCCAGCATTGTGCTGTATTGGAGTGTTGACATGGTAATCCGTGGCATCTCTTCTAGCTCATGAGAGGAATTTTCAGCACCAAGGTGTAGGCCAGAGCCTCCGCGGTCCTCCTTCCATCTCCTCTCCTGCAGTACAGTGCCAGTGGGCCAATAAGGGAGATATTTGATCTCCCAACTGGCCTGTGAAGGCACACAGCAAGGCCAGCACTTTGATAGTGCTGGCTCTGCATGGGCTGGCAGGGGAGATCCATGATGCACTATGCAGCGTCTAGCCAAAATTAAAACGCCAAAAAAGAAAAAAAAATAGGAAAGAAAAATGATTACATATAAAAGGCATCTAAAAGGGAAAAATGTGAAATCTGTTAAATAAAGATAACAAATCGAATCATAGATAGGTAGTACTTAAGGTACATGATAAAATATCATAGTAACATCTAATTACATCTGAGACTTGTCAAAAACTGAGAGAGAGAGAGAGAGAGAGAGAGAGAGAGATAGATCACCCTAGTCCTTCTCTAGCAGTGATATTACTGACATCTCCGATATAGGTAGTAACACATTCTAGCATCTGATACGGCCTAGATTATAATCCAATGTCAGTTACTGATTTATAACCTAATCAAAGTGATCACGATTAAAATTTCACATACCATTTTTCTTCTGGTAATACTTCCACAGTCAGAAAATGTAATTGTTTTAAAACAAAGATTCAACTGTGATTTATTTTTTATATTTCTGTGATTTTCTCGTGTACCTCATCTCACTCTTTTTGCCTCTTTCATTACTTTGTGTTGATATAATTTTGATTTTAATCTAGAGATGAGGAGCTTTATGGGCCTATAGCACAAGAAAACAAATATGGTGCCTTTAAAGGGACACTATAGTCACCTGAACAACTTTAGCTTAATGAAGCAGTTTTGGTATATTGAACATGCCCCTGCAGCCTCACTGCTCAATCCTCTGCCATTTAGGAGTTACATCCCTTTGTTTATGAACCCAAGTCACACCTCCCTGCATGTGACTTGCACAGCCTTCCATAAACACTTCCTGTAAAGAGAGCTCTATTTAGGCTTTCTTTATTGCAAGTTCTGTTTAATTAAGATTTTCTTATCCCCTGCTATGTTAATAGCTTGCTAGACCCTGCAAGAGCCTCCTGTATGTGATTAAAGTTCAATTTAGAGATTGAGATACAATTATTTAAGGTAAATTACATCTGTTTGAAAGTGAAACCAGTTTTTTTTTTTTTCATGCAGGCTCTGTCAATCATAGCCAGGGGAGGTGTGGCTAGGGCTGCATAAACAGAAGCAAAGTGATTTAACACTTAAATTACAGTGAATTGAGCAGTGAAATTGCAGGGGAGTGATCTATACACTAAAACTGCTTAATTTAGCTAAAGTAATTTAGATGACTATAGTGTTCCTTTAAAGGGTTTATGATTGAAATTTATGGACAACCAAATCAATTATGCTAATAATTAGTGTTTGCTTAACCTATGTGGCATATGAAAACTGTATTGTTTGTCTTTAAGGTCCAATTTAGGTATTGTGGACATATTGAATTGTTATGTTATCAATTTAGCCAAGTTATATTTTAGTTACAGTTCTTACCGTTGTCCTTTAGTTGGTGTAGTGTAGTAATGTATAAACTTAATGTTGCTTTTACACATCAAGCAAGAGAAGGTGTTTGGGTTGTTTGTACTACTTATATATTGGCTTATGTATTAACACTAAAAACAAAGTTTGGCCTATTGTTTTCTTGATAGAAAAGCATCCCATTGGGGGGAGGAGGGAGGGAGTAAGCAATGGACCATTGCAGGTGCACTTTTTTTGAGCTCTGATGAAATACTACAGAAAAATACAAAGTTTTGCAAAAGTTATTCTCCTGATGAGTGGGGAGCACACTCTCGTCCGTACTCACCCCCATGGGCCACAAAATGAAAAAAATACAAGGTGGGAAAGGCACACACCATCCAAGATATTGGCGATCTCCTTAGGTATTTTCAACAGGCCACATGGTTGAAGACTGATCCTATTACTCATCAGACGACTTTGCAGTGGATCTGGGAGGTGCATCTTTCTGTCCAGCGCCAAGGGTAAGATCTTCTCCTGCTGAAGATCAGGATCCAGCTACTGCAGCACTTTTTAAAACCATGCTGGGGAACTGTGCTCTAACTTTGCAAAAGACATCTCACAAGTGCCACCATGAAAATGACCTGTGTGGATATCACAACTAGTGTCCAGGATTCAAGGCTGGAGCAGATGCTGAGGTTCAGCGGGACAAAGAGGCACAGGTAGAGATGCTGGAATACTAGAGGAGATGCTTACACCTGAAATTTAGAGACATCCCTGAAGCTCAAGCTAAGAAAATGCCCCACTACTTCAGATGGCTCTTTGTAGCCCTACTACAAAAAATATGAAAATGGATGGCATGTTCTGTTTACCAAAGCCACTGACTGCCCCAAACTCTGCTACAGCTGACCTTATTGTCTGCTTTCAAACCACACAAGATAAAGCCCTATTCCCCATGGCAGGGTGGGGGAAACTCAAGTTTAGTTTGAGGGATGTAATTTTCAGTTGTCTATTTACTTTTAAATTGCTAATTTTATTTTCTTTGCACTTGTTGACCCTCTGGGTTATAATTCATAACTTCACCCTGGACACTATCCAAAAACAGGCCTAGTTAGGCTACCACGTAGCCACTTCAAAGGTGACTCAATTATTTACTCTGCTAAGTCCATATATGCTGATTTCAGATGAAGAAGAAAAATAAAAAACAAAAAAAACACTCTCTACTTGCCACCTATATCAGTTTCAATGTTAATTCTCTGCTTATGCTTCTGACATTGTCACTCGGTTGTCATACTCATGAGTGGAGTAAGATAAAAATAAAGAATTGCATAAAAAACTCGTTTTTAATGTTTGTTACAATGTCTATAACTTCTTGACAGCAGACTGTTTGCATGAATACTTCAGCATTTAGTGTATGGCATGAGACCATTTTTAGTGTGTCACAGTGGTGGGATTGTGATCGATTTGACACAGTTAAAAGCTCATTGACAGCCATTACTGTCTTAATAAATATTGCATATGAAGTTAATGTTAACCTAGTTTTGTCTTGCTCTTATCTAAAATAACGTCTCAGTTGTATGCCAGACTGGAATCCCAAAGCCTTTTAGTTGATATACTGAAGGTGTATCTCCGCTGCATTGAGGAAGACCTCAAGTCATGAAAAAATAATCTGCTGAGCTCCAAATGTAAATGGTATATTCAAAAAATCTCGAGGTGTAGCGCTATATTTACAGGTAAAAGGTAGTAATAGGAAACTTGATGTACAATAGTAATACCTTGAATATTCTTTAAGTCTTTATATTCACACTAGGGTATAAATTCTACAAGACATAAAAAACAGACAAACCAAACATAGTGCAGACTGCGTAATATAGTCCGTTATAAAATATTAGGAAGGGAAAATTTCCCACTCACAATTTTAGGAGCTAATATGGAATAGCTCAATATCAGCACTCTTGGGGTCCGTAAAGGCGACCCTCACCCTTCTTGTGTATAGGTATCCTTGATTTCCTATGAAAGTAGAGAACGTATATGGTGCAGTACTGTAATTCTTTAATGTGAGATAAATATAAAATATAATACTCACAAAATTAGAGTCATCCAGATCGGCTCTAATCCACACACCTGTGTAGTTAAGAACCACACACCTTCTTTGAAAAATAGCAGGGGAAATGCCAATATATAATGTAAAAGAGTAATAATTTTATTGTAACAATAAATGTATAAAATTATATATATATATATATATATATATATATATATAAAAAACAATAAAAAACAATATCAAATTGGCATAAAATCCAAAAGTCCAATAGTCTCACAGTCTCTCCAGTACGCGTTTCGCCTTGCAGGCTTCCTCAGCTGGATATGGTGATTCAGACCTCTAATGGATCATCCCTGCTATATGTACCCCTCTAAGGGGTGAAATAATTGGTGTCCAGGCTTGTATTTTCGCGGGCAATCACCATAGAAACGGTGACGCCCTGCGTTTCGAGCCATTTCTGCTGTTTATTTCCTGTTTTTTTGCTCCGTCGCGTCATTTCCGGTTTCGCCGATACGTCACTTCCTTGCGTTCCACCATGCGGTTCACCATTTATTTCCCCAGGGTTTCCGGATCAGCGATTTTTAAAGAAAGATACAAGTATAGATGGATTTAACACATGTATAAGATTGATAAGCATTCATTTTCAAATGTAAATAAGCCTTATAATTGTACAATAAGGCTAATACTGATTAAATTACATTCTGAAACTTTCCACCTATCTTTTCTTTTATTTCTACTTATGACATGAATATATATATTTTTTTTAAAAAGGTGGTAACTTTACAGAAATATATTAGCTTATTATGGTCAAATACCAATATATGTCGTTATTGCTCTTCTTAAAAAGATAGATTTATAAAAAATAAGTAAATAAATGATCAAAGGTTATTAAATACAATATGTTTCAAAGGTTATTAAATACAATATGTACCTAGCAGCTCACCCTGTTTTATACATAGTTCACTGGTTGGGGAATTTTTTGCGCTGGTACACCCCCTTTCTTTTTCCTCGTAAATGGTATATTGTCTATCATCGCCAATGTGATAGGAATTTTATTGTTGTGAGTTTGAACTACAACATTTCAAGACATTGGTTCACACGGGGCTCTAAATATCACGTGTGCTATAAAATGAGGTGGCCCTCTTATATAAACCGATATGGCATTCGAACAGATCTTAAGGTTCCATTTACAGCTTTGTTCATTCAGGGCGTCCAACTATGAGGCAAGGTGGGCATCTTTTGTAGCTCGATATTTAATGCATTAACATGGCTACAAAAATCAGCATCCTTCTCTCTTACACCTGTTATCTCTGCCTATCACTGTAAGGATCGTCTCCATGACAGTAGCGATATCTGTGCTAAGTAACCTAGGATATATTTGATGAGGTCCAGGATATCCCATTGGTCCAGGATATCCCAGTAGTTGGCATGTCTTGACTGCTCTTATATGAAGCCCATCACTATCACGAGCAGGTCCAGAGCACCATAATCACAATACAGTATGAGTGCTGCTGCCACCTTAGGTCTCTGTAATTACAAAAGTGGATCTCCAATATTTTGAGTCTTTAGTATAGAGACCAATTCTTACTGTCTTTCATTCTTGTGTTGACCAGGATGGAGTAAGACTGCTGTATTTGTGAAAGCAAGTTCAAAGTAATCACTTTATCAAACATATGTACTCCATTCTTGTTGCAAGTTACTCCAACACCCATTTATAGAAATATCAGGTTATAAAAAATATAAAATTGTGGAGATTATGTAAAGTAATCCAATTTTTAAACCACTTGACCTTCTTTTCATGGTTTGGGCAAATCTGGAGAAATAATCGAAAGCATGACTAAAGGTTCCTAAATATGAAAAACGAACATTCACATTATTAGCATATTATAGGGCTCTGCTGGTAGAGATACATTGGTTTATTTACTCTTCTGCTGTTTAGTAAAACTGCAAAAAAAAAAAACCCAAAACAATATTTTGTAATGCAAGATACCTACTATACATCAATAAAAACAAAAAACATATAGTTCCACTTTAAGCAGTAACAGTAATACTGCAAACGTGTGAGGAAGAGCTGTGAGATCCATCTATAATGATAAGGAAAACGATTAGATTTCAACATAGTTTTACTGCAGCCTAATAGGTGTTATAACAATACAAGTCACTGCACCTTCTATAGCTGGAGAGATATGCTTTCTATAATTTAATCTCTTTTACATGCTAATATTATTTTAATTTTTTTTTTACTAAACTAAAATACGTTGAATGAGAAAAAAAACCCACATGTATTGTGTAAAATGAATCACAAGATAAGTATAGAATAAATAGATTGTAAAAAGTGTGAATGAGTTGTCCTTGATGCATTAAAACAGGAAATACAATGCCTGCCTTGGGTGTCGGATATATCTCTACATGGCAATTTGACAGTTTATTCCATTCTTGTCTCACACAGTCAGAATTGTGCAATTCTGTTAAATGGAATGAATGACACATACTAGAATGCTACGTATTTGAGTTCTGATTAAGTATTCATGCATATGAGTATGGCTGCATAGTGATACAATGTGCATCTATGTAACAGGCAAGAGGTAACAATATTGGCTAATATAGCTTTGGTTAGTCATCGAATGCTATGCAGTTAAAAGTATAATAATCATAGTAGATTTACAAAGATGAAAATGGTAAAATGAATAGAAAATAAGAGAAAATAAAGCACAAGAGTAATAGATCACGAAGACAGCAGTTAAGATCTAAAATGTTCAAGTAATGTATATATTTGTTTTGGTTTCTAATTTATGCTTTTTTTTTGGGGGGGGGGAGGTTTAGTTCCTGTTCAATAAGTGTAGAGTTTACATTTTGCTGGCTAACATTGTTTTTCAGCTATTACATATCTTTTACTGTAAATTACATTTAAAATGTGAATTAAAACTGGAATGACGACATTTGGGGTAAAATAGTTCTAACAGGTTCGTCTTCTGCAAATAAATAAATAACTAAAAATCTGTATGTACTTAATATATGTGATAAAGTATGTATTTTATTGTTTTTAAGGAAACCACCTCCTCTCCAGTGCTCTTAGGTTATTAATGATACACTGGTTTCACTACCATCTATCACTCTGTTCACATTTACAACTTTTCAGCAGAACATCATCAAAATGTCAGTACATGGGCTGTAGTTTGTTTTGGATGAAGAACAGATGATTGACATGTAGAAGGGTTCTCCTACTCTGGCCTGTCACTCACTAGTTTGCACATAGGTATATGCCAATGGGATAGCTCTCAGCGCTGGGAATTGATTGACAGGTGATGGAGAGACCATATTTTATGAATAGATCTTTTTACTAATCTACATATTTGCTATCATATCTATTAAAATTCATAGATGGAATTTATTTCAGGCTTACTTGCTTAATTTGTGTGTCGTGAATGCTTTGTACTTGGAATGTTACTTTAACATGTCATAGCTTTCCCTCAACATTTCTCGATGTCCTACAGAATACTGACCACAATGCACACAGTTTAACACACAGGCCCAATTAACTCAATTGCCTCCAGCTCAGGTACTTCTAATTTAGATTTTGTAATATTAGATATTGCCCCTTGAATTATCAGAGGAAAACAAAAGAAAACTACCAGATGCTTCTCTTTCCATTCTTACCTGCGTTCAAGGCATCGAGCAAGACAGAAGTTCACAAATAATCAAACGTGTCTCAATAGACACGCGTAGATACATCCTGGATACCAGCTAGGAAAAAGGCCATAGCCAGCACTTCCATTTTGATGTCACTTTCCATCCATTGGACCCATGTTTCCACTGCTTAATTTAAATTATATAATAACCAGAGCCTCCAGCAACAGCCTTAAACATTATAATTGAAACGTACCTCAGCATGTCCCTGTGTTATATCCAGGGATTAAATAGCTTTCTCTTTCCGAAACAATGGCTAGAAATGTTCAGGTAATGGAAAACTGGACGAAAATCTCTACTGGATTCATTTTTCTGTTACAGAAATAAATTGGGGGGTTTAATGGCCCATTATCATTGCTGGAGAAAGGATTTATTTCTAAATGTAATTTTTTTTCAGTGTATAATGCATTAAAAAACAAAAGAAGGAATAGTTTGGAACTATTTTATTTCACATGTCGTGAACCCTGTGTTTCAACTAGTACATTAATGTTTTGGACTTTGCGAATAAAAGATATGTTTTCAATTGAAAGAAAGCAAATTGTGTACTTTTTCCAACTTGGAAAAGATGGCTTGTTTAATTTGGGCTCAGAGTTATGTATTTTATCGTAAATGATCAATTTCTGGATATAGAAAGATATTCACAGATCTATGTGTGTCTTTTATTGGGAGAATTAGAGCTAAGTAACTGGGACAGAAGGTGGTCATTTAATTATGATGGTATAGTAAAAACAAGAAGGCATTCATAATTTTTGGATCAGCCATGCTTGTGGGTAAGTAAAAGTGTTAATGTCTGTTTAGATAAATCATAAGACAAGCAGTATTGTACATTGCAAGGACATCATGCATATAGTCTCTTCTTTGTACATTACCATCCTTTCACCCCCCATATTCTAAGAAGACACTACCCCTATACCCTCCTATAAGGCCCATATAGGTGGTGGTTGATGGCAGGGTGGCATCTTTTGAGTCAGGGCACGTTCTTCGCCCCCTCTCTGGCTTCTTCAAGGTCAGAGTTTTGACTTTGTGGTTGTGCTTAGGCTTTGCTTCAGTTGGAGCAGTGGGCTGTCGAGAGACATCTGTATCTGCAGGTGTCCGTGCCTGTTCAGCCAGTTTAGCCCATAATTGTGCCCAAAAGTGATCAAAGGCTGCTGATATGCGGTTTTCGCGGGGGGCCCAGAGTTCTGGTCTCCATGCGGCCACCATCTTTGCGATGCGCATGTGGCCCAGTAGTTCCTGTCGCTTGGCCTCAGTAGTCTCTTTGTACCAGGCTGTGTACAGGCGGATGCCTAGTGGGGACCGGGAAAACCCCCATCGGTCCAAAGGGATGGGGGGGAGGAAGGAGTCTGGCCGAGTAGCTTGGCGAGTAGAAGGGTGGGAAGAGCATCTGCCTCTCCCCAGCTCCACCTCTAGTAGGCTGTGGTGCAGCATTCCGGTCTTCCAGCCGTGACAAGCTCAGATGAGGGGTCAGTCAATTCAGTGGTGCACCCCCAACGTGGGAAGTGAACCACAGTAAGTATTTTGCTTTTGAGCAGCTGTGGGTACCCCGAAATTTCCAAGTTAGGTGTGAGCTCGTGCTACCTGCGTCTACACTGCTCAAAGGTCAGGCCCGCCCCCTCATGCTGCTCTTTTGCTTTGGAACAAGGGTTTAATTGCCTTGCATTAGAACAATTTGAAATAACAGGCAAACATGAGTCAACTAATCACATTAACATGTAATTTCAAATACGGTGACATGGGGAATTTAAATCCTCGTGTTAAAGAATGTCAAACAATGTGCTAATGTGATTACACTCTCAGAATGCTATAACGAGTGCAATTGCTAAATGGATCAATAATTAAATCATAGCTAATTCAAGGATGAATATTTACCACTGTATGTCTCTACCCGAATTAATATAGAGAAACAACCTGCCTCATATTTCAGTTCCTTTGTGACATTTCTATTTCTTGCTTTTCACTCATCTTCCCTCGCTGCTTGTTTAACACCTTCATTTCAATCACTTTTCCTCCAAAAATTGGGAATTTAGTTACCAACCTCAGCATTATTATAAAGTTAAATTGATCATTTCACTCTATAGTGCAACTTGTGGCAGATTACTTATAGTTCTTTTATTGTAGAACTGCAATGGGATGCTGATGTTAACTAAATTGAACATTTCCTTCTTTTGAATGAAAAGTTTCTTCCATTCCCCTTATTAGATTTCACACATTTGGCATTCCTTTCTCTTTCCATAGTTTCATCTTGGCATGTAAACAGGAATTAATAAACCCACATAACAGCACTGGATTCCCACATTCTGAATAAGCAGTCTCATTATTAGTTAGAGTTCTTTCTCCCTTGGATCTCAGCCTTTTTTCTATGTAATCCCCTAACCTATTCGGAACCTATAAAGCATTAGTCTAACCATGAAAAACAGGAATTCAGAGTACACATTCAGGAAACAATGACAATAGATAATAAAATACAGCACCTTTTAGAAGAAAAAAAATACTAGTAACATTGTAAAAAATTGCAAGAGATGGACATTTGCCCTTTTCTTAAAATGTAATATAAAAAAACAAACACTTAAAGCTTAGCGTCATCTGTGTAACGGCCCCCACATTTAATCTGTGAACTTTGTGTTTGTTGTGTCTGCACTGTGGATGACAATACAGAAATGTTCTAGTCCTATATACATGTAAAATTCACTGCTGCATTTGTATGAAAGTGTATTAACCTCTTCATTTCTGTCAATACACATTCCTCATAACTAAATAATGATTTTTTTTCCTGAAATAATAATTACTAAAATCCAATCACACACCTGCTCACATGCATGGAAGTACAATGATATATATACACTGGTGCAGGCAAAGTGCCTCTTTTAATGTATGTTTGGAAGTTCCTTCTTAAGTGACTTCTTGTCCATTCACCACTACCTAGGGCAGGGGTAGAAAACCATTGGGACTCCAGGTGCTGTGGACTACATCTCCCATAATGTTCTTACAGCCAGCATGCTGGCAATTGTCAGGGGTGCTGATGGTTGTCTACCTCTGTCCTAGGGCATTGGTAGGAATTTATGATCTTTAGAAAAATGTTTTTAGATGAATTGTTCTAACAACACTCCATGAATTATCTTTGCAATGCAAAATCCCAGGTGGTTTAAAGTATACACAACTCTGCAAAAAGCAAAGATAAATGTTCTTACCTAAAAGGCATAACCAAGCAAGCTACCAGTAGATCGGCCATTGCCAGGGACATGATGAACATGTAGGTCACAGTCCTTAGTCTCTTCTCCACTGCAGGGCAAATAAACACCACAGTGTTACCAAGAAATGTAACCAAGTCAATGACCGTTAGTAACATTCCGACGACCACCTGCTGTGGGGCAATATCGACTGCCGTTCTATTGCCTTCTCTTCGTAGAGATGAGGAGATGTAGGACAAGTTGGAGAGGAGGGAAATGTTTTTGTCCATCTGCATCTTCAGTTTGTTCTGTCCTGAAGAGCAAAAATATAATATAGAATTATATATTACAAAAGATCATGTAACCTTAATTGAATAATTTAATAGATTTCACAATGCATATCAAACATCTGTAAGAGTAATGACTAACCTTAATGATTCAAATGTTTAAGATGTTTGCTACAGTTCTCACAACAACTCAGGTTGCCCCGAGATTAAACATTGAAGATCAAAAGAACATGGCTGAGTTTATAAGAACTTGTGGGCCACTAATTTATTTTACTGGGCAAGAATCCCCATTGTCTGAAATATGCAATTATTTAATCAAAAATGTATAAAATATATTTTATAGTAAGGAATACATAAAACCATAATTTTTTTTAGTTTCTTTAAATGATCACGTTATTTTTTTTAATATAGAATTAAATAATCAGGAATACAAGCAGAAAATGTTAAGCGTGAAAGCAAATTAGATAAGATATAGAGTAAAGTACAGAGCTGAAGAAGAATATAAATGGTTATTTTAAAGCACCGTGTAATGAAATACGTTGCAGTATAAAAATATGTTAAAAGATATGTTAAAGTAAAGGGATAATTAAACTGCATTACATTTGAACAAGCTCTGAGAAACTGCTGGCTGGTGATTACTTGAATTTGCCTTTTTTTTTTCATGGAATTGGCCCAAAGTACGAGTTCTTGCAGGGTATATTCATGTGAATCTCGTAAGAGATGAAATTCTATGTTTTATTCGAATGCAAGAAAAAAATTAATCAATGGATCTGTTTTCATTTTCCAAGCATGAGTGTGTGTTTTTCTGACATATTTTGACTTCTAATTTTGAATGTTATTCATAAGCAAATTTTGAATTACATTTATTTCTGTTAAAAAAAAAAATACAGGCAAAAACAATCACATTCAGGAAGTTTATGAATATACAAGGAAAATGTGCTTTGAATCATCTATCCTATACAGTGATTAACAGCATTAAATACTTTTAAAATCTACTCATCTTAATAATGAAGAGTTAACCATTACATTTATGAAACTTTAAACAAAGAAAAATTCACCTATAATCAGCACAAGTGCACTTTTGATATGTATAAGACGTGTTGATGTCAATAACTCAACTTTACAGAAAGAGATTGAAATTACAAACAATTATAAAACCAGTTGTTAATAACCAGGCAGGCAGGTGGGCACTGATGAAGGACTTTCACTTACTGAGACCCAGAAAAGATAAGGCCATCTGATTGAGCATGTATTACTAATGCTAATTATGCATTTCACAATGAGGATATTTTTCAAATGTGGATGACTGACCTGAGCTTCGTGAAAGAGGCCAGGTCTAGAATCACTGTTTTAAATAATTATATCTAAAATAGAACATGTAAACCACAAGGTACTTTGGTCAGATGCTGTGTGGCGCAACGGTTTTGACTGTTTTTTATTTGAGTCACCTAGAAAGTGATTTTCCAGGGAAAATACAGTGACATTCCTTTTGCTTCCAAGTATGGCCTGTGGTGTATACAATGAAACGTTTGCTATATCTATACAGGGCATGTTAATATTAGGACAATGTGTATGTTGAGAGGACACTGTAGGCCTGTAGTCCCTAGGTGCAGTCCCCCGATCAGTTTTAAATCATGTTTGTTGCTCAAGCTAATGCTTTCTCATTTGTCTAAGCAGCACAGAAAAGATGGGATGCTGGGGATTCTTGTTTAGCACTAAGACATTTAAACTGGTTTAACCCTGAATAGAATGATGGCGCCAGAGGACTTCAGACAACATGACTACTTCAATGAGATAAAGCCATAATAATGCCTACAGTGTTCCTTTCAAGGTTGTGACTGCTGGTTAGAATATGCTTGAGAATAAAACATTCTAAATAAAAACAAATGGATTTCAGGACGGATTTTGCACGAGGCTGCGGATTGCATTCAGTCCATCTTCCTATTAGATTACACACAGGACTCTGAATTAATATTGGTTATTAACATAGATGCCCAAGTTAAAAAAAAAAGACCTCAAGCCCATCAAGTTCGGTCCTGAAGCTAATGATTTTATGCTGTTGATAAAAGAAGGCAAAAAAAATAATTGTAGCCACTTCCAAGTTTGTCACAAAAAGGAGAAAAAAATATTTCTTGACTCCATAATGGCAATCTGATTTCTCATTGGATCAACAACATGTATATATGAATATCAATTATATCCTTGAATATTCTGTTTATGAAAAAAAACTAAAAATCTTAGCATTTGTTTTAAATTATCTATAGAATCTGATACGACAACAGTATTGTCCTTACTGTAAAGAACTTTATCCTCTGCTGTAATTGAAAAAACCTTTCCAGTCTCAATGTCTAGAGACCCATACATAATTACATAGCTGAAAAGAGACTTGCGTCCGTAAAGTTCAGCCTTCCTCACATATGTTTTTTCTGTTAATTCAAAAGAAGGCAAAAAATCCAGCGCTTCCAATTTTGTAACAAACTAGGAAAAAATTCCTTCTTGACCTCAAAGATATCTCCTTGGATCAAGCAGCTGTTACCCCACTAATTAGAAATGATATCCCTGTATATTATGTTTTTGGAAGTATTTATCCAATTGCTGTTTAAACATCTGTATGGACTCTGATAAAACCACCTCTTCAGGCAGAGAATTCCATATCCTTATTGCCCTTACCGTAAAAAAAACAACCTTTTCTTTGCCTTAGATGAAATTTCCTTTCTTTCAGCCTAAATGCTTAATCTCGTGTCCAATGAATAGCCCTGTTTATGAATAGATTTCCAGATAAAGGTTTGTACTGGCCTTGAATTTATTTGTATAAGGTTCTTATATCCCCTCAGAAGCGCTGTTTAGCCAAACTAAAGAGATTTACATTTTTTAACCTTTCATCGTCACTAAAATGCTCCATTCCTTTGATCAATTTTGTAGCTCGTCTTTGCACTTTTTCTATTGCCATAATATCTTTCTTTAGAACAGGCACCCAAAATTGCACAGCATATTCAAGGTGTGGTCTTACCAGCGATTTCTAAAGAGGCAAAATTATATTTTCATCCCAAGAATTTATGCCGTACTGTGACTTTGCTATTGCATTTTATTTCACTTTTATTTCGATTTATTGTTTATATCACTTTTGAGTGTTTTATATTTATTTTATTTAAGTTATTGGATCATCTGCCATTTTTGTACTGTTACTGTCCTGGAAGTAATTTTACCAACTTTATCAGCTATGCTGAACCTGAAGGAGCCACATTTTGATATGCAAGATATGCATGGTCCATCTTGTAAGTGCAAGTTAAATAAAATGCGTTTTTACTTTTATTGTTGTACACTATGTATGTATCTCTTCCTCTCTTTTTTCTGTACTAAGTGGAAAAGGGAGAAGGCCTCACCTTTTACAGATACCTTTATGTGCCTGCAATCAATTTTAATCCTGTGAGTGCAATTTTATCACCAGTGTTATATAGAGTCTTACAATATTATACTATGCTACCTTAAACTCTTTGATTATTTGTTTGTGTTCACCTTAATCTCTTTGAGTATTTGTTTTTGAATATTATACTATTACATGAATCTATTCTAGTTGGCACTTCTACTAAATGTGACATGAAAAAGTAAATTTAAAAACCTGTTTCTCTTAAAGGTAAATGATAGTGCTCTATAGTCCTCCACTCCCTCGCACCGTCCCTCTTTGGAAGATAAAAGTTGAAAAAACCCCTTTATTTATGCACTCAATTCCAGCGCTGTTGTTCCTCTGCACTTGGTTGTGCTCCATCTCCTCTGACGTCATCTGACATATACGTGCGGATTTGAGCGCATTAGGCCCTTTCCATAGGAAAGCATTGAATAGATTGTTATTATGTTATTATTTATGAAGCGCCAACAAGTTCCGTAGCGATGTACAATGGGTGGACTAACAGACACGTATTTGTAATTTGACGCACAGGAACAGAGGGATTTAGGGCCCTACTCAATGAGCTCACATGCCCATGATGAACAAATTACCCAATTATGCAGCCCTATTAATGGGAGATAGCAGTTGCTCTTCCCCATCAGTATTAATGTTTGAGGGCTTGTAACATATTCCTATAATTAATGGTTATACCCGGTTTCCTCCTATGCATGCTTCTACCCATAAGACTGATCTCACATGATCTCATAGTTCCTAATTTCATTTAATCTAACCAGAAACGGAGCATCTGTATGTACGCTTATACTATCAGCATGAACAAGAGACAAAAACCATACATACTGCATATATGTAAAGTAACAGCTACAATCAATCTACACTCGAGCACCAAGACCATTTATGTAGCTACAGTGGGTTAAGTGGCAACAACTATGGGCATTATTTACATTTGATATCATTTGTCTTTGTTTGTCAACAAGTATTTTGTTGTGAATATTTTTTTAAAAATATCCTATTCAAAACTCAACTATGCATTTATTGTACGTTTTACCCTTTCCTAACACAAGCTCTGATTATAAACTACACGTTCACATTTTATCATGCTAAAAAAAAGTATTTAATATTTATTGTGGTTTCTTTCCTAACTCTTTCTATGCAATGCTTTTAGAATGCATAAATACATTTGTGTACTCGATGTTAGATTTTTTCAAGATAATCTATAAATTGCTATTACTTCTCTCTCTCTCTGCTACAAACATTCCAAGCAAAACAACTTAGTATCCCATTGCTTTGTTAAATTGTTTGATTATGTCAGAGTAATCATACATAGAACTCTGCAGGATTCTTCAATGGTAATGCTTGGCGGTATTGTTTTACTGGTAGAAGCATAGTGTGATATGACTTATTGGGATAGCCATACAGTCAGCGTGACACCGTTCATGCTGGTGGTTAAAACAATATGCAAATGTTCACAACTGAAATGAAGGAGATTCTTCTATATGTTGCATTTAAAAAGGCAACAATATGCATGATAAACTGAACATATTGAAACAACTGATCCTGATTTAATCTCAATTATGAACATATTAATCTTCCCGATCCCTGTTTAATGTGCTGCTAAGTATAATTCACACAAAGAAAATGAGATATTTTAAAATAAACCACAACATATATGACAAGCCAGAAGAATATGATGCAATAAGAATAATCTGTAACACGCAGGTAAAATCTTTGATTTATTTTCAACATACATGCGCATTTTTTTCTATGATTTACATTTCATCTAATCCTACTTTTACACCTTCTATGCAGTAAATCGATTAGAAGATGGCGAGGGAGGAGACCTGAATAGCGTTTAGTAAAACTGTCATATCACCACCTCTCTGCTGACCATGTAACTCTCTCAGACCGAATAATTAATCTACATCAAAGTAACCTTTCTCTATGATGCTGGTCAGCAATGTCAACATAATATTGCTGGAGGTAACAATATTGCATAAGAATTACAGTTAGTGAAATGTGGGCTTAGAACCCTACAAGAAATAAGGATCAAAGCCACTAGGTACTTCAATAACAGCACCCTGTATTCACCACTATCATTACTATAAGCCTTCATATGATGGCAGGTGCAGGTTTCTCTTTCCTTTTGGTATCATCTAGTTTGTCTATGTGATTGCTCCCTATTTGGATGTCACTTTGAGAAACAAAGAGTGCTATTGGATATATAGGCTGATATCCCTGAGCCCCGTGGACCTCAATGAAGGTTTCTCTTATACTCCATTTATATTATCAGATTACTATTATTTTTATAGGAGGATATAAAGTATGTCACGTGTGTTCATTCATTTGGTTGATATGAGATATGGCCTCTTATTCGGGATATGATTATAGAATAGTGAGATTCTGGATACTTTGTATTGTAGCTTAGTCAATATTCAAAGGGACCTTCCCTGGATATTTTGTATTACATTTTCTGGGAGGACAATATAAATATATCTGTTTGGATGAAATGTTTCAAGCTCCGCTTAGTAATACACAATGAGACTGATTTAAAAAAAAAAAAAAAAGAAAAAGGGTCCGTCTCTTGTTAACCTACCCATCTGTATTGTAAATGTGCAGATAGTACATTTGACAACTCCTACATCATGTGATGTAATAGAGGCTGGTCTTCAGTACCCAGGAACATAGAAGATGTTGAGGTGTTGCAACTCATATGAAGGGGCTGACATCTTACAAGAAACAAGCATACAATGCAAAACTGGTAATGCCCACTATATATATAATAGGCACTGGTTTTCTGAGCCCATTCACAATGTGGTGAAATGTTCTTGTTTCGAATTATGTAGCTGTAGTAGAAGAGGATTGGCTGTGAACATTTTTGGGAACTTTTAAAGAATGAAAGAAGCCTATAAGATAAGGTCAGGGACTAATGAAAGTATTTAGAAAATTGGGCAGACTAGATGGGCCGAATGGTTCTTATCTGCCGTCACATTCTATGTTTCTATGTGAGCTATGCTGCTTTTTAATATGCTATGGGTCCCTGATAGAGGTGCCAGATTTGAGCACTGAAAAATGTGTCAGAGCATGTTTGTGGGTGTTTGGTTTGACCACTCTTTATTCACTTTCCACTTTATTTCACCTTTTAGTGGGCAGTGACAGAATGGATCAAGCATTGATAGGGTTAGATAGAAGTCATGGTACTGGCCTTTTTGTGTATCGAGCTGCCTTCTATTAGGAGAATGGCTATGAGAATGTAGAACTGATGAATTTCCCGTTCTCTTAGTATTCCAAGGAGGGTTGTTTAAGAGATGACTAGAAGGGTAAGTAGGCTTGTGATTGTGTTGCTGTACTAACTTGTATATTTATAAAGGTATTAGTAGGCTGTTAATGCAACTGATGTATTAGCTTTGCACTTGAGCTATGGTAAGTTTAGGCTCCCTATTGAGCCAAGGTTTCCAACTTACCTTCTAAGCTATGGTTAGGGTTCCCTTTGGCTCTTAAGGGAACTGAGGTTTTCAACATACGGCCTCTCACTGTAACTTTAAAAATGTTTAGAACTTTCAGGTGGGTATGAGCTAAGGTATGGCCAGACTCTTAAGGAAGCGGAGGTATTACAATTTGACAGTGGGTCTGCAGCTTTAAAATTTGACAGTAGTTCACATCTATAGCTACATTTATGCACCCAGCTATTTAGAGTGTGTACGGTGTCAAGATGCTAGACCTATTTAAACTTGTGGTAGCTTCTAAATTAGACAAGAGGCTTATTAAAAATGTACAGCTTCAAGTATTTCCTTATAAAGTGATTGGCTGTGGCCGCTCCGTACTGCTCGAACCACCCCCTTGTGGATGTACACTTTTATTTCCCCTTTCATTCAGCCGGCACCGGAGTATACAGCTGGCTAACTATGTAACTTGGGCATGTCTACAGAGTGTTACTGGCGAGAGAGAGAGGTTTCCTGTGCTCCTGCCTCCCGCTGGTCACCCGGACATCACCAATATTGGGGAAATGTGGCACAGTGGTGGGTTTAACACAATATGTCCATATGGTGGAACTGAATCCCTATATTTGTTTGATGAGGTGATTTTAAGTAGACTTGTAAAGTTAAAAAAATATATATATTTTTGTGTGTGCACCATTTATTAATCTGTATTTTGTATACATTTTGGTCTCTACAGCAGCACCGCCTGCATGTTTCAGGTGTGCCCTCAACTCCTTTTTTTCTAGATATTTTTAAACATGGTTTTCGAAAACTACACATGTTAAAGGAAGTTCATTTTTTATTTACAGTTATGTATGCTGTACTCAGCATTTATTTATTCCTTGGAATTCAACAAAGAATATTCTAGGAACAGACTTCAGGCTATTGGTGAGGTAATTTGATAAAACAATCACTAGCTGCAATTGTTACAAGGTCATAAATACATTGGCTTCATGAGTACAGTCTTTTAAAAAAGGAAACCTTTGGGCAACCCTTATAACCCATTCAAAATGTAATATAATTGGATCGTTGTTCCACCTGTCTATTTTACACGTTTCTTGCAGAAAAGGCTCGAGGCAAGCAAATCTAGTGATTGGTTTATAAAGCTGTGAGTGAGTCATTGGGATTTTCAACCTAATATTTATGAGTTAAAGTATCTCAAAAGACTGGGAAGAAGAAAATACTTAGAAAGCTCAATAAGAAACACAACCTTTGCCAAAACTACACTATTAAAAAGTAATAATGAATCCCTTTGATGCAGCTTGCGAATCTGTGTTTCATAAACAGTAGGTCCAAAATTGAGGAGGAAAACAGTGCCGTCTACTGCAACTCCACTTCGATGGGTGTCCCTCAACCCATGAAGGACCAAAGTTGGTTTTGAGAACGAAGGCTTTTTTGTTTGCCAGGTGCTCATTCTACCACAGTTTAACCCTTTTTAAGTGCACATATGTTATTTTTTGAAGGTTAAATAGGGCTTTATTTTAACATTATAAATGTATTCACAACACTATATTAAATATGAATAAAATATTTAAAAAAAAAGGAAACAATGAAAACAAAAACATTTCTTCTTAGTTTTGCATTTGATCATTTCTACACAACTGCAACAAAAGAAAATTAATTCAAAATAGATTCACTAATTAGCCCTGATTATTAAAAATGCTCAGTATGCCTAGGATATCAATAAATGTTTAGAATTTCAAAAACTGAATGATGGTTTTACAGCTAAGAATCCAAAACCACTGCACATAACTATATATTTGTAGAATTTACACCCCATAGCTATTTAAGAGAGTTTTGCCACTTTCCATTTAACCATACTATCCTTAATCTCTGTCAAAATATTAAATGTTTTATGTTTATTTTACACCGGTTTTATTTTGGAGAAATTGACAGACCAAATGTATCCCATTAGTTTCACCACCATATATGGGGATTTTGCTACTGTTCTCAAGTACAATAATATCTTACATGTATACCTTTTCCCCTAATCTTACCTCTAAACTTGCCACTAATGTGTTACAGCTGGGAAGTGATTGATTGTTATGATAGTATCAATCATCCGTCAGCAATCCCTCGTGTTACGTCTGTATGTTCTTGCTATTAGAGGCTATACATCTTTGCTCCTCTGAGCTAAGAACAAATAAAAAATGTGAAAACTGAGTGAGTTCAAAAAACAAAAGTAATACTTTGTAAAAATTGGATTTTTTGGGGGGGGGGGGAAGCGGAAAATATTTTTTGTATATTATTATTCCTTTACTATGCTAAGTGAGCTACAACATGGCCTGAATTCACTTGAACAGGGCTCCCACTACTTCTTGCTCTTGTCAAACTAATGAATACGATGTCAAAGCTCAATGGGAATCTAAACAGGAGTGAGTACCTGTCTCATTCAATGAAAGTAAAATGTAGACGTGAGTCATATACTGTCAAAGATATCATGAAGTATGAGCACAGTTACAATTACAATGATTAGCACTCACATATTCTGCAATGTTGCCCAACAGATAAACCATGGCAGATAATTCTAATATTACAATTATAAATGAGAAAAGTAGGTGAAGATTTACCAAAATGAACTTACAATCTAAAAGGGTGAGGGACAATTAAGTGAGGGAATCAAATGATTTGGATATATCTGAGGATAGATGATTGGGATGTTTGAAGGACAAGAGGAAATGCCAGAGGAAAGTGAGAGATTGAAGATTTAAGTCAAGGATGTGACAATCATAGATTAGAGAGACTGCTTAAGGTGTGAGTGAATTGGGTCAAGCAGACATGTGGTAGGGCAGGAAGAAAAGGAAGCTCAGAAACCTCTTCTTCAGAAGCTGGAGACAAATATGAATTACTATATCATGCCATGGTCTTTCATCAATATGGAACTCTCTGTATTTCTCCTCATCCCCAACCAGCTGGTGAAGAGCCCCAATGAACGAGACAACACAGTGTAAAGTTCAAGTTGCTCCTGATATTTATTAGGTGGTACAACGGATTGTAATCAAGAGGAAACATGGGTGGTCTTATGATTATTATCCAATAATAACATAATTCATCTATATTATCTTAACAACAAGCTTGAAAGTGTAATGGTGGAGTAATCTTGCCTTGCACTACGCATTTAGAAATAGGTAGGTAACTACAAACTTATAAATAGATATGTTACTATGCAGTTAGAAATACAGAAGTAGAAAACAGGATCCACAAATCGGGGTAGAGGAGCTTCTGTAATGTCTACCCAAACTGACAGTTGTTTTTACAAAAAAGCCAAATAGCTTCCTGACCTGGTATAGGTTACATAAGCTCCTCACTACAAGAAGGAGGAACACACAGAAGGAAAGCTGGGGGGGCGGGGGGGAGAAGTGACACGGACACACAGAAGGGAGGCTTGGGTGGGTGAAGTCACACCGACACACACAATGGATGCTGGGTGGGGGAGACACAGACACACAGAAAGAAGGCTGGGGTGACAAAGACACACAGAAGGAAGGATGAGGATGAAAAAAAGTCACACCGTGTGGCTGGGGGATAAAAGGACAAACAGTGGGGCTGGGAGGGACAAAGACACCCAATGGGACTGGAATGGGCAAAGAGATACACCGTGGAGCTGGGGGGACAAAGAGACACACAAAGGCACTAGGGGGGACAAAGAGGCCCACATAGGGGCTGGTGGGGACAAAGACACACAAAGGGGCTAAGGGGAAAAGTAAATATTGTAAAAAGGGATGGGAATATGTGGGGCAGATAATAAGGGTAGGTCATTGTGATGACAACATGGGGGCAGCATATTGTTTTTTGCCTAGGTTGGCAAAAATGCCTGCACTGGCCCTGTACTGATAACATTATAAAGTGATTGGAAATGAAAAGTTGCAAAGGATGATTTCCAGGACACTCAAATCAGGTGGTTATGAAAGAATTGTGATTGTCGGTTATCTCACCCTCTGCTGCTTATTTTGCCACCGTTGGTTGCTTTTTGAAATTGTGTGCTTTTTTCTGCCTGCAGTATTTTCTGTCTGGTAATTTTAACATTTGCGAAATATTGATCATAACTGGCAATCCGACCAAAGGTGCATAACGATGGCTGCCAGGAAGGGCGAATGAAATCAAGTGATTTCTAGAAACAAAACTTGTTCCAAAAATGTAATATACATGAATTAAAAATGAATGAAATGGTACATTATTACATAAAGAGTATATTAAGATATCAACACATTTTTCCAAAAAGTTCTCCTCTAATTAAGGGCACAGTAGACTAGCTAATTATTTCCATTAACCAATATAATTGTATGGCTAGTATGACTTACAATGTACAGAAGCCCCATGAGCCATTTTTGGCTATACCTCCCATTTCTGGGTATAGGAGAATATATACTCTCCAACTTGAAGGACAACTACAGAACCCTAAAAACGCTTGCTGAGTGTTTTATATGTGGTGTGTACATTGTGTTTTATTTTATTTCACAAAAAGTGCGAATTTCAATATGACACATTTATAAGTTAAGCTTGTGACACCCCCTGGCTGTCAATCAGTCAGCAGGTCATGTTACTTCCTGGTTTGATTAGCTCAAAGAAGATAACCCAAGGTGTTGCAAATGGGGTATGTTCAGTCTATTTTTAGTAGCGACTTAGTCACAAACACTGGCCAAAGTTAGCGTTCATAATAGGTTTTTGCATTTTTAACACACAAACAAATAAAAAAATGCTTTGGCCAGTGTTTCTGACTAAGTGGCAACAAAAAAGACTGGACATACCCCATATTGAATACCCTGGGTTGTCTACTTTAAAAAAATATGTACATGTGAGGTGTGATTCAGAGATTTATGACAGATAACAGTGTTACGTCACTATTGATACATTTTAAAAATATATATTTTGAAACAGCCTGTCCTACTTGTACTTCTAGCCCTATAACTTTCCAAAAAAAGCTAAGAACATGTTAACATTGGGCATTTCTAAACGCAGGACAACATTTTGAAACTATTTAGCATGTTTTTTTTTGGCGGTTGTAGAAGAGTAACAGATTTTGGGGTCAAAGTTAGAAAAAGTGTATTTTTCAAATTTGTTTCATCATATTTTTTCATTTATTTTTATTATAAATTATATGATATGATGAAAATAATGGTATCTTTAGAAAGACCATTTAATGGCCAGAAAAACGGTATATAATAATATGTGTGGGTACAGTAAATGAGTAAGAGGAAAATTACAGCTAAACACAAACACCGCAGAAATTTAAAAACAGCCTTGATCCCAAACGGTAAAAAAATTGAAAGGTGGTCTGGTCACTAAGGGGTTAAATAATAATAATAATAAACAGACATCAAACTACTCCTTTGATAAAAAGGATTTTCTGGAGAAAAAAAACCCAACAAACTCCTGAAGCCTATGATGATGATACATGTAGAAGTGATTTTTGCTTTTAAGCATGATTGTATCATGCACCAAGAGTATGAAATGTGCTGTGACTTTCCTACAGTTCATTAGATTATACGCTGCGGGAAGAGGTGCATGCTGGTTTATATATCTTGTCAGAGCAAAATAAACCTTGAGAGTTTTTTTTCCTGCAATTTAGAATTGATAAGTTCAGAGAAAGAAACTGCAACAAAGTCACACTTCTCGATCTGTATTTTGCTACTCAGAACACTGATTAAGTGGAATTTCCTACAGTATTTCTCGGGGATTGGGGTTACGTGAAGGAATTACATTTTCATGAAAGGCGTTAGAAGTCAGAGGATAGTGTTGAGCAACGGGGTTTGATGTTTAGGTGTTAAGATGTTAGGTTTAGTCATTAATGATAGGGGTTAGGTGTAGACATTAGGAGATAGAGGTCATTTTCAGGAATTAAGTACTGAATTCAAGGCTCTGCATTTTTCCATTCACTCTTCCCTTATTACTTATTTTATTCTCTTTCTATCTTTTACCCATTCCGTCAAGTCTTTACCATCGGTAGTACTAGTGAGTATATAGTGTGAAAGTGTCTGACTTCCTGACTTATCATTTGTCCTTCAAGCAGTCTTCACCAACTGTAAGAGATACTTAATGATGGTTGGAGAAGATATCTGGTGACTTGATATGATATGACATGTCAAGGGCTTCTTGCTTTCAGCTTCAAGTGCAGGAAGAGAGAATTTGAAGAAGTTGAAACCGTGCAATCGGCAAGGTTTACAAAAATAAAAAGGAATACTCACACATACCACTTCAAAACAAGTTGCCATTTTGACCACAAACAAGATTTTAATTATACATTGAAACTGTGCTTGAGCATTCATGGTGAATCTATATCTAAGTCAATAAATATAAACAGCTTAGGATTTATTTTTTTCAAAGAGATTTCAAACTCACAATATCAATCTTTCACAGATTATTCCTGATATATCTATTAAACATAAATATAAAGAATTCGATAGTTTAAAATTTGTGTCAGTGCATTTAATACTGTTAAATCATAAACAGGCACCATAGATACATAGTAAGATAAACTAAAACAAACAAAAAATGCAAGTCTATCAAGCCACGGACACATTTTATTTCTGCTGTTGATTCAATTATACCTTGTCACAAAATAGAAAATTATTCGTTCTTATTTACAAGATAGCAGATTTTTTTCCTTGGATCATCAAACTTACCCCATATATTAACTAATATTTGAATATTATTGTTTGATTTTTTTTTTTAAACAAATCTCTGAACTGAACATACTAAATTAGCATCTTTAGCCAGAGAAGGTTACATGTTTATTTTTCGAACTGCAGTGGATCCTTTCCTTTGCTGTACATGAAATCTACTTTCTTCAAGTCTAAATGGGTGACCTCTCATCCTTTTGTGCAGCTCTAATAATGAGCTGATTACAAGACAGCTGCACTAGCCTTGTATACATTTGTATTCAATTACCATACCTCTTTTTTGTAGAATAAACAAGTTCAAGTTCTAGCCTTTAATTTGTAGCCATTTCTGCACTTTTAAAACTTCCATAATCTTTTACATTTATTGCATTTTGAAATTCTCTCTCTACATGATATATATATATATATATATATATATATATATATATATATATTTATATTGTTGATATTGTCCATTGATCAGCTCTGCTTTAATCCTTGAAAAGTAAATATGGTTTAAGCTGTGATATCAGCTGATTCCATTGTTTTGAATACCGTGTACATGTTCTATATTGATTATATTACATTACTTGTAAATCCACTTTATAATATATTAGTATTAATCAAGACTGTTTATGTTCATCGGTAACCAAGGATACTGGTCTCTCCATAACAGATAACACTTAAACCAATTTACAATGTACCAAACAGGAAACATCTTAGTCTCCTGATGGAAACTCATAACTGGAACTAAAATGTTCTTGTTATGATTTGATAAACCTGTTTAATTTTTTTTCCATCACACACATAGGTCTAGCAGAGGCTTTTAAATATGAACATCGAGTGTAAGAATACCCTTTAAGAAATTCTCACTTCTCATTCAATAAAGCTGATAAACTATGGGGAATAATGATCTATAGCAAAGGTTCCCGACCCAGTCCTAAGGGCACACCAACTGTCCAGGATATGTCCGCATTCTAGATCCATTTTGCCTTGAGGACTGGGTTGGGCACCACTGATCTACAGTGTGGACTGACTCAAGATTTTAACAAAACTGGAGGCCTTCACAGAAGTGTTCTGATATTATGTGCTCATAAATCCTAGGAGAGCAAAAAACCAGGGCGCAAGAGAATACTGAGAACGGGCAGCAGCTGAAATAGCCTGTCATTCGGTGAGTCCCCGCTCAGATCTCAAGCTGGTTCCAAAATTGATCACAAACACATACACTTGGTGTATATTTCAGATCAAATTATTTTTTTTATTTTATTTTTTTAACATGATGGCTTTGCCCATCCAAGAAGGTTCATAGAAAGCTACTAAACCATTATTTTCATTAATAAAGTCAATGCGAGCAAACTGGCAATTTCTCAGTTTGGCAGAACATACCTGCTTCAAGAAGTATAGACCAACATGTGCAATCTTGTTATGACTCGGAGTCCGTTTTGTTTGGCAGTCTTGTCTTTTTATAAATATAGTTATCAACTCAACTTTCAGCATTAACTTCATGATGTCCTAACATTATCGAAGAACATATGTTGACATGAAAACCTATGCAGGTACTTACAAACACACATCACCTGCCAACTATATAGAAGAGAGACTAGTCAATATTATAATAAATACAACAAAATAAATTAAACCAGTTCAAAGGCATGACAGCTCTGAGGTCTTCTATATACCTAAGTAAATAGGTTATGGTACTTTGATTTGTAGAAAACATTTAATATCAAAATCAGAATTCAGGTTGGACATTGGAAAAAGCTATACCACTCTGTTCAGTGTGGCAACATTGATATTCTAGACTCTGGGGAAATTTGAGACTGCATTTTTTTTTTAGCTACCCATGGATGCAGCAGAATGAATAATACATTTTGTATGGGCAACACTGAAACTGAAGCCTGAATGACTTTAATTTTATATAAAACGAATAAAAAATGTTTTCTGCAGAGGAAGAGTCTTGCAGAGTGCAATGAACCGCTTGGAAGGGGAAGCGAGAAATTGGAAATGTTTTAGGATGGTTTTCATCTCAGCGAGATTCATTTCCATTATCTGGAAAGTACTGATACAGCTAATGGAGTGTCAGCGGCAAAAATGCTCACAAAATGCTTTCTAATCTTTGGTGTCCAGAAACTGCTTGGCTAAGAATTCTAAACTTACTTTGTATGATAAGGCATAAGCCACTGAATACATACTGTAAGTACTTTTGGAAAATATAGTACAGTAGGGTGCATAATCCCTGCCTCCTCTGAAGTAACAATATATGTAACCCCTTCTCTTTAAGGGACACTATAGGCACTCAGACCACTTCAGCTCATTGAAGTGGTCTGGGTGCAGTGTCTGTGTCCAACTCAAAGCAGTAGTTGTACCTTTGTTATTGGTTACTCTTAGTTGTTTCTGAAGACCCACAAGCTTTAGGTACAGTAACCATCATAGATAAGGTACGTATGAGTGCATCATGAAATCAAACACCACATCTGGGATTTAAAGTTCTATGAGATGTCTGCACGAGGGCACAGACAGAGCCACGGACAGAAGAAGGTAAAGGCAATGGGTGTTTAACAATCCCAATGCTATTAAAACTATTTTGCAAAACTTGGCTTTTAGACCAACTTAGGTTTGGAATTTGAAAAATCTTTAAACAACCAGTAGATACACCTCTCCCGGAGGACTGAGCCAGCCATGGATGAATGTAAAACAGGCCTACCTGACTTTAAGGGACACTATAGGAACCCAGACCACTTCAGCTCATTGAAATGGTCTGTTCTATTGCACTTAGTGCTGCAATGTTAAACATTGCTGTTCCAGAGAAACAATTAAGCATTAAGTATGCCTCCAGTGGCTATCTACCAGACAGCCACTAGAGGATTCCTGGATTGAAACTGACCTTTGGTCCGGTATCTGACCCTGGATGTCCTCACGCTCTGCATGAGGACATCCAGAGTCAAATTTTTTCCCATTTTTTTCCCCCATAGGAAAGCATTGATTCAACGCTTCCAATGGAGAGGTCAAATGGCCCGCAACATTTTCCCTGCATGAGCATTAGCATCCCCTCGTCGCGGAGGAGGTGGAGTCACAACCCAGCACCAATGTCCCTCGGTGTAAGGTACGTAAATAAATGGTTTTTAACCCTTTTCTTACGTCAGTTGGAGGGCGCAAGGGAGGGAGCTATAGTGCCAGTACACTAAGGCCTAAGGGGCATTGCTGTGTCCACATCATTCAATTGCAGCATCCTCTGGCTTCTAGGAACATTTATCTTTTTAGTTCCGATTTTTAGCATCTTTAATCATATTTATGTATTCAGTGTCTCACCTTCACTTTTAGTGTTACTTTTAGAAGCGGGTGGTGTCTATTATATTACAAGCTAGGGTTGACTTTTGGGGTAAAGGGTGCCCTCGAATGCACAATAGGGACAGCTATCTTCCTGCTCTTTTTTCCCCCTTCACCCTATCCTGTTATATACCTGTTACAATTGCAGGAGGTTCTCTCAGCTTTCCTCCAGCTTTAGATGCTCTACTAAACAGACAAATACACTTTTCTAATTATTGTAAAGGCCAGCTACTTTTGTTACATATTATCTTTTGTGGCTATATGCCTGAAGGTACTGAGATACATTGATGCCCAAGTAAGCCAGAGCTTTATTGTTCACTATTTAGAAAGTACTTATTAACAAATCTCTTGTCAGTTGGGACTGTGTTACCAAACTATCATCTGACATACTATGGAGCGACCTGTATAAACAAACACTTTGTTAAAGGTACTTACTATCTACTTTAAAGTGTGGACCAGCATCTGCTATTTTTAAAATTATATGTTTTGTATATATGTGTTTAGCACTATTAGTTTTGTGGTGTAGTCTGTCTCTTTTGTCCCTTGAGACTTTTTAGTGATAAGTACTTTTATTAAAAGTTACGTTTTAACTCAATACATATTTTTCGATTAGCATTCCATTGCTGTTACATCGGATAGTGTATCCTCCGCTCCATTCTTTTCTTGTTGTCGAGAAATTAGTTTATCTTCAGTATGAAAACCTGTGTGGGCATGTAAATGGGGTTTCATTGGCTAAATGTAATGTAATGCTGTTTAGTATAAAAATATCTTTGTCTATAGCAGAAAATGTTGAGATGTGATTGGCAGGTGAGGGGAGCGAAGTATAACTCATGTACTGTAGTTTTGTTGTAAAATATATCGACAAATGCTGCCATTTATTTCTGCACATTTTAATTTAATGATCTTTAGTGACACCTGGTCAAGTTCGAACTGACAGGAAATTATTTGAATGGCTGTTTTGATAATCATTAATTCATTTTAAAGAGTAGTTCTTAACGTGTAGATGGGGTGGGAGGGTAATACGGAGGAGAGTTTTGCTCCTTGAAACTATGGGACCACTAAAAATCGTGGGGCATATTTTACCTATTTGGGATGATGGTACTATTTGTCCTATTAAGACAAGTGGCTGAGTGGTTACTTGATTATTAAGGAGAGAGAGATTGGCCCTTTAGATATTGGAACCAGAAAACAAGGCATCCCTTGGTCCTCATATAATCTGGATACATTTTTCTCAGTTTGGGATCAGGGGGTGAATAAAAGGTGTTGACTGACCCCTAAAAAATATTTAATTTCCACTAACACCCATGGAAGAAGGTAGTGGTTGGGGCATTTACACAGGCTTACCCAAATTAGCATTTCCTTCAACCTATGCACAAGGGGTGGAGGAAGGGCAGAATCTGATTGATAATAGTAGGGCCTAGTATCAAATCTGCCATCTGCTATGTAATGAATGGTAGTGATGGAGCAATCTCACACAACGCCTCCTCCCTGTGAACTAGTGTGACTCAAGTAGCTGAATGCCTGTTGCACTAATCAGGCACACCTGCAGCTAAGTTTAAATCCCCTAAAGGGTAATTGTGACTCTCAGTGAGATACACTGTTACGGTACCTCCAGTAATAAATGTGCAAACCGCCGTTTAGTGAATGCTCCCCGTTCGCAATAATGGGGGCTGGTAGCGTGTACAGTATAACCATGTGAACCGCCAGCTAGGGAACACTCCAAACTCCCGAACGGTACCTGTATGGCTCTTTCCCTTCACGAACTCCAAATCCACGAACTGACACTATTAGCCGAACGCCAATATCGTCCAAGTGGCAAATAATTCCAATAAGCAGTCTCGAGGCGCCGGTAATAAAATCCCCCCAATAACGAGACCAAGCTCCGCTTTGAGGGTAAAACACAAACTGATTTACTGTGGGCTACCTGCCCGGTATTTATGCAGGTCTCCCACTTGGTGGACACTCCCCTAGGGGACCAAATGGGAGACTGGAATAACAGAAAGACATGGGGACATTTTGGACATACATCCCCACAATATTCCCAGCATGCATCACAGTTCCCTCCCCTCTGCTCGGGAGATAATTGGGAAGTAATTCAATTATCTCCCAGAGCAGAGGCAAATCGCCATTTTAAGTACAAGTCATAAAACACATAAAAATCCATAACTTTATAACTGCCGAACATATTGCATTCGTGTAACACATCCCCAGATAGCCTGGATCTGAGTGCATATTATTGGCGAATAGCGCTCAGATCCCATTCGCATAGTTCAATCGCCATGGAGTCAAAGTCTATTACAGTTCTTCGGTATGCGATTGACTCCATGGGAAGGCTATCTGGGTTAAGTCCATTCGTGTTGTTGAATCTCCCGAACGGCCGGCATTCGTATGCTTTTGTCGATTGAGAAGGGGAGGTCGACGGCTTCAGCGGTGTTCGGTTGAAAAAGTGTCCATTTTCAGTTCCATGAAATAACCGTCGAACACCGCTGGTCTTTCGCATGGTTAAAATGGCCGCCGCCTCGTGGTCGACATACGAACGACGACCACCCGGTATTCGGTTTTAATTGAGAAGTGTCTGTGGTTAACCGCAACGTTCTAATTGGGATCAATAGGTTAACCAGCAGCACACTTCTCTTCTGGGTGGCCGTCCGTTCGGTAGTTCCGTTCGACAAAAAATAGACATTCCCTTAAACAAAGCATACGAATGGGGAAATTCATGCATACGGCAAAACAGACGAACACAGTTTTTAGTCCATACAGATGGGTCTGTCACATACACATTAAGTAACAAACACATGAATATGTAAAGATAGAGCACTGTCTAAACATGTAACAAATCCAAACATTAAAACCCAATAAAATAAATGGCTGAACAATAAAAACAAAAAAACTCAGTGTGCTCAAAGGCACTCCTGCTATTTAGTGGGAAAGGAACTGTGAAATTACTTTCCATATACTAACAAAACAACATGTCAAAATCTAAACACCAGTAACATAAAAATGGATAAAACAATATAATATATACAGGTTACACAAAAAGCAAATATACTATGACAGGGGATTAACCATAGCCAAAAAATATAAAAATTATGTCCTGCAAAATAATTATTTAGAAAATATCTAAAAGAATATGGAGACATTCCACTCCACATTGAGTCCAAAAGGGGAATCTAGTTTGGAAATAAAATAATCCAAAACATTTCCCTCTTGGACAAAACATGCGAGTGATTTCCCCTCTAACTGTAGTAACTACCTTATCTATCCATTGGAAGCAATACATTGATACATCTCCATTATGAAGTTCTACAAAATACCGGCTACAGGGGTACTTGTTCTTATCCTCTATGTTGTTGAGATACTCTCTTATCCTCTGTTTAAGCCTTTTCTCTGTCTCCCACACACACTATGTATTACTACTTTACACGCAATAAGGTACACAGCATATCTGGACTCACAATTCATGTATGTTCTCATCTTAAAGTCCCAAGTCACAACCGCTCATATAAGACCTGAACATCTTTGATTTCTCAGTATGAAGACAGCACTTGGACCTCTGGTGACCACTAGAGATGTTGCGAACCGTCAGCGAACTTCACGCGAACGGTTCGCCACGAACCGTTCGTGGCGAACTCCAGTCAGCCGACACATCCCTGCCAATCTCCGGCAGACCCTCCCACCTCCTGGACAGCATCCATGTTGAAGCTGCCTTCAACATGGATGCTGTCCAGGAAGTAGGAGGGTCTGGGAGGGAGGGTCTGCTGGAGATTGGCCAGGATGCGTCAGCTGACTGGAGTTCGCGGCGAACCGTCCGCGAGAAGTTCGCAGACGGTTCGCGACATCTCTAGTGACCATGCTTGAAAAAAAAAAAAAATCCAACCTCTTTTAGCCACCCTGACTGTGCTTTGCCAGTCATAGTATTTACCTTCCTCACAAATAGTGGGATCTTTCTTCACCTAAAATTTCCATCCGTAGTGCCTCGAGCCCAGGGTGGAACATTCACAATGTATCAACATAGTTTTAACAAAATTATATATAATAAGTGTGGGTGCACTCAATATGAAAAAGGTAAATTATGGTCGAACAGACATATAGTCAAATTCCAGGTTTTGTTTTGATCAGAACTTCATCCGTAAGGGGTTAACATAAGGCTTTTCTTTTCAGAAACAGTGACTTTTGTATTGTCTAAAATAATTTTTCATATTGTCTTCATGTGTACCAATGACAGAGAATGATTTGAAGCACAATAATAATTTTATGTTGCCGCATTTGAAGTCTGATGTCTGGGTCATTCATTATTGAAAAACATGTTCCAAATATGAATAAATTAGGAATCATGGTAAAGTGAATATTTTATAACATTCTGCTAAATTAGTCCTAATTTCCCTTCTTTAGCATTCAGCAGTAATTTGCCAGTACAAAAAGCATCAAAAGATCAAAATGAGTAAAAAAATATTCAAACACTCAAGGAGATAATTTAGTAAATTAAAAAGTGTCAATTCAGACATTACATTATAGCTTCTAGACTTGTGCACTGCAGAAGAAAATTGTTCAAACTGCTTTGTTTGAAAAAACAAAACAAAAACAAACCAATATTTCGGTATAGCAAAACTATATGCGTGTGGTGGTTTGGCTTGTCAAAATTCTACCCACTGAAAAAGATTTGGGAGAATGAATCAGACAGAACAAAAGGGAATGAAAATCAACCAACCAGTGTCAAATTTGGCCCATATATTTTGCAGTACAATTATAGGTGCGTTTTCCCACCACTTCATTCACAGATCGAGTAAAAAAAAAAAAACATAAACAGGGTAAAAGTATTTTTTTCCCTGACTTGATCCGTGAAGAAAATCAACATTTATTGACTGTGCCCTAGCCATCAATCATCTACATGTATTTTCCAATGAATATCTTGCATGGGCGGAACTCTGCATCAGAAATGAAAGAATGTATTTATTGTAAGAGTGGTTTGGTTCTTGAGTCATATCTCAGTTAAGAAATCAGGAATTCGATCACCCATTCGGCCAAAATTCGGACAAATTGTAGTTCGAATTAAACTAAACTCCAAAGCTAATAATAGCCTAATAAGAGCTAATATGAAAAAAAACTAAACTGAATCTGTATTTCTACACAGAGGATAGAACAGTGCTAAACAGACTGAATACACTGGATAAGGAGGCAACACATCTGATAGAAAATTAGGACATGTCAAATGGAAATACAGGTAGTGCCAATAATAAATACTTCAAATACTTTTAGTAATAAAACCGTAAAGTGCACACAAGATGTAAAAAAGTCCACAATAAAACCTAAAAATAAAAAATGTAAAAAATGCCAAATGGTAAGGCACAGTCTAATAGGTAACAACATATCTTCTAATTCTTGTGTGGCACTTATAGAGTAGTTTCGCTTGACAGCAGCATATGAAAAGAAAGCAAAGAACAAAGGCGAATCAATAGTGCATTATGATAATAAGTAGTAGGACACATGACACTTAAAATAGATGTCAACTCACATTTGGTAGAGCTATAACCAGCTCTAGGTAAAACAGCATACATTATATTTAATCCCCACTTGCAGGATATCCCTCTGATTTTGGTCAACAGTAGAGTGGTAGTAAATCACAACTGGATAGCGATGAGGTAGAGGATATGGAATGACAAAAAAAGCAGCCAATAGTGCTCTCTATAAAGTATAAGTAAGATAAATAAAAATATACTTACAATAAAATTAGCAGACTAACCGCTCTATCTATCCAGCGTATGGTGGGGATCATACCACCTACACTTGATACATAGAGCAGTTAGTTTGCTCATTTTATTGTAATTATACTTATATAGAGAGCACTGTTGGCTGCTTTATTTGTCTGGAAAACTGGAGTAATATGTCCATCTGGAATGTTCTGCCCGCGTGGCCCAAGGAAGGGAGTGGCATGGGCGCAAGGTACAGGTCAGGTTGTAACTGGTGGAAGCTTCCCAGAAAAGCTCTTAAACACAAAGCTGGAAAGATGAAGGGGACAGCTGGTTCCAGCGATAGCCAGTTTAGATCTTTTAACATGTCACAATAGTGGGTCATGTAATTACATTGTAGCATAAAGCGGCAGAACGAGTTATACAATGTAGTAAGTTTATGAAGGTGGGTTTACGGCGCAGGTGTATACATTACATCCCATCCCAATAATCAATAACTGGCATTAACATTTGTTTAATCTGTACAATCTGTTTCCTTATTGTTGGACTTGGTCAGGATTTGTTTCTGTACAGGGCACCAAGTTTTGGATAAAGTTTTGATGAGTTTTTCAATGTGAAGGCCGAAAGATAGATTGGGGTCTAACAACATACCTAGATATTTGAAGAAATGGACTGCAGTCCGTGGGCTATTTGATTTTGTAATTTATGTTATTAGGGATTATTCTAGAGTTAATAACTGATAATCTAAATTTTATTAAAGACAGGAGGCAAATATTTGCTTTACTTTCTTTACTCAAGCCTCCCAGCAGCAAATAAATGGTTAACAGTGCAAAGTAAAAATTCAACCAATCACAGTAAAGGTGTCTGTAACAAAGGGTAATGAAGCTCCTCTCACTTCCTCTTTCTTATGATGCAGCTGCACCAGTCAGAGACAATGAAGTAACCATAAACTGTGTCCTCAACCATGGAAACCAGAAGGAAGAACAGCTGGATTTGAAACAGCATTCAGAGAAGTAACAGAGTGTTCACCCTAGAAGGAAAAAAGAGAATCGTGAAAGTATAGTCTCTAGGCAATGTTTAAGGCTTTACCGAAGCACTAGTAGAATCTGAAGCATTATCTACTGGGAATGAACATCATTACATAGGCACCAGTTAGTATAAAGTAACATAAAGATGCGCATCACAACTGAAAACCAAGCTAACAGTACAAAACATGTGAAGCAGAAAAAAAAACAAAGCACACCAGCAATAGTCAACACCCAATAAGAAAGGGGGGGAAACAGAGGGTGGAAAAATATTTGCCTCCTGTCTTTAATAAAATTTTGATTATTTGGTTATTAACACTAGAATAATCCTTAATTTTATGGCAAGACAGGAGGCTTCAAATTTGCTATTTTAATGCACAGAAATAAGAGGAAAAAGTGCGTGAGAAGTCGGATGAAAATATAAGGTACGAAAGGTAGATTCTTTAGACCAGTCAGTGGAGGATAAAATATCTGAAAGGGCGCCTCCTGCTAGGAGCGCGGAGGAGGCCTCTGCTCCCCAAACTGAATGCGCCCCGAAAGAGTAAAACCGAGGAGCCATTTGATCAACTGAGTGATCGCAGGACATGACACTGGTCAGTGGGGACGTACATAAGAGATCAACAGTGAAGTAGGCAAAGTGCCATGCAAAGTTATGGTCTGTCTGCAAAATACGGGTAAAAATATAAAAATGAAACAGAAGATGAGAGCATCTTAGTTCGACGGGAAACAGAAAAACAAAACCCCTTCAGGGGAGAAAACAAGCACACGAAAGTCAAAAGCCTTCACATTGGAAACTCACTTGAAGAAGACTAAACATAAAAGTAGTGCTAGTTTAGCGGAGAGCTGTTGTAAAGTGAGATCCGAGTTGGAAGGCCAAGCTTCCAAAAAAAGAGAAAACCTGAGATACATCTCAGAATTGGCAATATTGAGGTGCTGGAGGCCTGGTCAATCTAATACAACACAGAAGTCTGCAGATCGAGGGATGTCCACCAGCTTGTCAAAATAGGCCAGGCAGAAAGGTAGGCACATAGAGTCCCATAATAATCCTCTAGCCATGTTGGAAAGTCCTGAGACATTCCAGGATCCCCTGAAACAGTCCAGGCCACGAGTTGAAGGTGGTCTTGAAGGAAAAGAGGGAGTAGAGGGCCTTGTCGTAGGAGGGAAAGAGAGGGAAGTCTACAGACAATTCCAATAGATTGGGATACTAAGGCTGTGTCCTCCATAGAGGGGTAATCAGAAGTATTGTGACCACGAGAGTTCTGATCTTTTGCAGAGTTCGAGGAATCAGAGAGAAAGAATGAAAGGCATACGCCCCTGAGTTCGGCTAAGGTTGGAGGAAAGCATCAATTGCTTGGCTGGATGGGTCTGGAAGCCAACTGAAGAAGGCCTCACCCACAAATTAACAAAAGGCAGACAAACTATAAATCAGTGTAAGGTAAAAGGCCAAAAATACTATGGTGGGGGTCACCCAGAGTAGATGCCAGTGAGAGGTTAATTTGGGAAACCAAATTTAATCAGTGTGTGATAATGTGTGATGATGACACGGGTATAGATAATTGCAGGGAGAGCCTTCTTGTTCAATCTGTAATTAAGGAAAGGAGGGATAATAAGTATAAAAGATCCTTTTAATAGGGTGGAAAAAAAACACTATAACAGTATGGGTTAAAATGAAAAACAAACTTACAGTTAGAAGAATAAAGCATGAAGGATCCCTGTGTCTGACCACTGTGCCGCAAAACACCAAGCCGACAGGTTTGTGAGGTGATAAGGTGGAGCGAAAACGGCAGGAAAAAACGTTGGAGAAAATGGCCGCCACGAGTGAAGGAGAGGACGGAGCAGAGCATCAGAGACAGACCTGAGTAGTGGAGACTGAGCAAATAGAGCAGGCCGGGCCATAGGGGACGCTGCCCACTGTTGTGGACAAAAATATTAACTCAATTTATGTTAGTAAAATGCCTATTTACTCAGCATACCTACAATCAGCATTATTTAACTTTATATGTGATTTACCTAAAAAGGCCGCTAGGGAGTTTCCCTTTGACATCGACTAACACTCTCACTAACAAGATAGCGCTGGAATCTGAGGGAGACCTCCAAGATACCAGTGACATCACACCAGGTAGGAAGAGCAATAAATGAACCACTTAACACCTAACCAATGATTGATGTATTATTTCATGTTATCTCTGACAAAGCATATGATGTAATTTTGCTTTATAAGGGACATGTCGTCCCCTCAGAATAAACATTCCTCAAGTTTTTCATTAACCCGAAACCTGTGTCTGGTGTGAATTACTTTAGGAGCATGCACACACTACTGCTTTAATTTGGCCGGGGGCAGATACACAAGATAATGAATTAATTGATTGATTGATTGATTCCACATCACCTGCCAAAGCCAAAAGTGCCCTGAACGGTAATTACCAGTGAGGAGTGGAACCATGAGAAAGCCCTCATGCAGAAAGAGCACTGGGAAAAAACATACGGCCAACTAGAGAAGACGGCCTGAGAGGAAGAAGGCAATAAGGAGATGAATTATAATGAACAGGTATAGAGAGAAATAGCCAAACTAAGGTAGGGAAGACAATCCCAAAAATTAAGGCACAAGGATATATAAATTACAAATTATCGAAAGATTTGACTTAGCAATATAATTGGAGTAGACTCACCTGGGAGACAAGCAGCAAAGAAAGAGGAAGTGGGAGGAGCTTCATTACCCTTTGTTACAGACAACTTTACGGTGATTGGTTGAATTTTTACTTTGCATTGTTAACCATTTCTTTGCTGCTGGGAGGTTTGAGTATAGAAAGTAAAGCAAATATGAAGCCTCCTGTCTTGTCATAAAATTTAGGTTCTGTCCAAAAATCATTGTGACAGTTTTGTCAGTGTTTTTTTTTGTTTGTTAGTGTTTAGGAAAAGTTTGTCATCTGCAATCCACTTTTCTAGGTCATTGAACTGGTCTTGGAGCACAGCCTGAAGCTGTGGTAGAGTTGGTTTGCTAGCGTCCATTATGGTATATGGAAGACCCATAGTGACTGTTACTTGCACCTATTTCACATCACATGAGATCACACCTGTTCCCATCAGCCAATGGGAGGATGTGGCTGTGGAGGCTCCATCCACCTTCCTACTATCTGAAAAAACAAGTCTTCAATGAGACAAAGTAATCCTTATTTTATCTCATGCATATTTTTTCCATTGCATTGGAATTTTAATGAAATTCCAACACACTCACTTTCTTTAAAAAAAAAAAAAAAAAAAGAAATCTATGATTATGAAAAAAACTAAAAGTGACAGTGCAACTTTAGTGTTCGAAAAAGAGATGCTATTGGTGAATAGCAAGAGTATTGGCCTTCTTGAAACAGCTTCTTTCAACCAGCTTTCCTTCAAAAATCCTACGAACTTATTTTTAATTTGACTTTTAGAAACTATAGTGTTTCAGGATTTTTGATTAGAGAAATGCTAATGAGCTTGTCTAGATAGCAGATTGAACTGTGCAGACCTCCAGATATTTGACACTAATTAGCTTTTGTAAATTACATGTAAACAGCTGGCTTGGATTACACTGAGCTACATAATGCTTTTATTTGCAAATAAACCTTGTGATTTTAGGTTCTCACTTGAGATCAGGCCCGGACTGGCCATCGGGCACACCGGGCAAATGCCCGGTGGGCCGCGGTGACCATGGGCCGAGGCCGGCAGGGGAGGTCCCAGGATCTCCCCTGCCGGTCTATGCAGGGCCGGCGCTATCCGAGCGCTGTTTTACATGGAGGGCCGGTGGTGCTGTCAGATCTGGCAGCCGGCAGGGAGAGAGGGAGGGAGCCAGCCAGCCAGGAGAGGAGGACCCGGCGGAGGCTAGAGTTCACTCACCCACGAGGACCACCAGGGAACACTGCCTCCCAGTCCCAGGTGCCAGCGTACCGGTCCCCCCCCCTCCCAGGCTAAAGGTAAGAAGCGAGGGGGGATTTAATGCCTGTTTTTTTGTTTTTTTTGTTTGCCCCCCCAACACACACACAATCCATTCTAACATTTATACGGCACTCTCACACAGCACTCTCACACCCATCACACACAGCACTCTCTCACACACACCGCACTCATCACTCTCTTACTCTCGCACACACACACCGCACTCTCACACACACACACACACATCGCACCCCTCACATACACAGAACCCCCCAACACACTGCACCACACATATACACAATACTTCCAAAAATAAATATATATATATATATATATATATATATATATATATATATACACACACACACACACACACACACACACACACACTCTCTTAACATACACACTCTGGATCCCCTATACACACACACTAGATTCCTTGTAAGCAAACACATACTACACCCCTAAACACACACATCATCACCTATATATATACACACACACACACTATAGCCTGTATGCACACACTTGCTATATCCCCAATACACACATTCTCTACAGCCCATAGCCACATATGCATCACATTACACCACTTTACACCACAAACACAACATGACTAAAACCAACCTTATTACACAATACCACACCACAATCAGCTCACTCTACACACACGCAATATCACAAGCAGGCTCCAAACACATGCACAATACTCTTTCCTCGCATTTTTGTCTCCTGGTATCCATTTATAGAGACACCAGAGACAAGTTGCAAGGAAACACAGTGCAAGCATGTTTTAAAATTTGCTTGCACTGTGCAGAACAAATACAGAGCTTTTTTCTCATTCTAGAGCTCTTCAGCAGAGCTCTGCTCATGGTCTACCCTGGGAGAGCATTGAACCAACATGCTCACTTTGAGAGGAGGCATGTTTGTCATTGGTGATGACAAAACACATCTCCTCTGCCCCGCCCCCTTCTTAGTGGGCCGGTGTGTTAAAAAAATGCCCGGGCCGAATTTTTCTCCCAGTCCGGCCCTGCTTGAGATACAATTACAATAAACTCAAATGATCTAACTGAGCTTTGAATTGCTAACTATGTTGAATATAAAACTTTATTATCTTAATCATTAAGATCATGTCATTCATGGACTGAGTGAATTTTTAAAATATTTATTTCTGCATCACTACACAGCACTGCCAATACGTTGGCCCTATATAAATAATAAAATATCTATTGAAAATCAATATAAAAGACCATATGATAACTACTAAATATACAACCATGACAAAGTACCAAGCAACACTGCCCTGCACAACACACAGCATAATCAATGTATAAAACAATAAAATAGAAAAAAAACAACCAAATCTATAAGAATTTAGAATTATGCATGCTCTATATTTGAGAGATCAACACTTTGATCTTTAAATGTTACATACAGACGCATATCTATATTCATAATATTCTCAGCCAAGCCATGTGCCAAAGTATCACACTTATATCAAGTCCTAACCTTGCTAATGCTATCATAAGGAATATTAAACTATGATACTTATTTCTGTTTGTGTGCATGCAGGTGTATGCGTATAAATATAATATGATATAGAGATTCTCACATGTACACACATTCACTTCTCTGAGTTGGTTTGTTCTGACACACAGACACACACAATAATTAAAGAATACTATTTCACATATTACTTTTTCCACTGTGTGCTGTAAAACATGGACAGATATCCATAAGGTGACTTCTGGTTTAGAGGTTTTTCTCTCTCTCTAGATATGTTCACAGATATAATGACTTCCCTGGTCCTACAAAACCCATTAACACTTTCACCTGTTCCACTGGTGTAATGAATACTAATCAAAGGGCTACAATCTGATATCAAGAAATCAGCCACAGGTAGAAGAATTCGGACAACACGGTGACTTTCTTGTGCTCACAAAACTGTTATTATTCTCAGAAGTGGAAAAAATACATTCAACTATAAAATATATAAAATAATAAAAACACAAACATTATATAGCCCAGTAAATACAACAAAATAGAATTAAACAGAACAATCAGACATTGGTTAACTGTTTCAGAGCCAATGTAAATAATCAATATTAAACACTGAAACATGATCAAATTGGAGGCAACAGTGTTATTAATTATTATTGCATGGCATATAGATGTTCCAAGTATGTACAAATCAGAGAGGTGATGTTAATCTAATGTATGGCATGCATAGAGAGCAGATAGAGACATGTATTACCTGATTCCATGACAAGTCCAGCCTTGTTTTAAGAGATCTCTAGCAAGTCACTGAAGCACATTAGCAGAGAGAGCTGGTGCATCTTCAGCCTGAGTGCAATGGGATTGAAAGCAAGATCCAGTGTGTCCATCACAGATACAGCAATAAGAATATGGTGTGCAAAGAGCAGACTTGCAGCTACCACCTAGGAAATAGAGAAGACTCTAGGAATGTGAGCCCAGAAGGGTCCATGACAATAGAACAAGGAAATGTAGCAGGACAGCAGGTAAACAGATACATAAAATAAATATGTATATATAAAAAAAAAGATGCAAGGGAATCAAATCAAGATAAATCAGTAGCAGAGTCCAAAGTGACTTTTCAGAATGTTGGTGTGCTAGAAAAAAATACAAGGGAGGGGAGAATGGAGTAGTGGGGAGTTTAGGAAAGACTGGGAATTATTGCAATCCTGGAGAGGATGTAGGCAATTGTACATGGCATGGGTTGTGTTGGTAGAATAATGAAGAGTAATATCGTTCATGGCCACTAGAGGGCGAGTGTGTGCTAGTCATGTCTATTGTCATTGAAAAGAAATAAACGGAATTTAGTGAGAGCATTGTGTGACAATAACAGCACACTGGGCAAAGCCTTACACCAGCTCTATTAAATATACATGCGTCTTATTTCACTGTGACAGTGCACGTGATATTTTTTGGATTTATCTAGCGCAGTTGTTCAGTAGGAGCAATGTGCAGTGAATTATAAGGACTTTACACTAAATTATTAACAGTTCTGTCATCCTCCTACCCGTCGCCACTGATAGAATTTCAATACTAATGGTTTAATTAACTAAACAGTCGAATGTGGTAAATTAAAACCCTGAATAGCAAAACTGAAGTAGTAAATACTTCCAAATTCTTAATTTTTCAATTCCCTTTTTAATTTACTACACTATACCATCTAGTATTGAATAAAGGAGATTTCTGTTTTGGAATTATAACATATTGTAGATCCTGCAAATTAAAACTATCTCCTGAGGGGGTAGGGGCAAAGCACCCTTAAAGGGTTAAACTTAGACAACTGGTACGTCAGTTGTGGGGTAATAAGAGATCAGCAATGATTATATTTGGCTCCATAAGGCACAGGTGGACAGAATTGTATCATTGTTTCATTGTTTTTAAGTCACTACTATTTTTTTTTTATCATTGACTGTGATGTAATTAGTTTTTTTTTTTGCCACTCATAGTAATGGAAAACAGTTTTTTCATCCTATTTATGCGACCTATTGATTATATTGCAAATATCTTTAAACGACCCAATGAGAAAAAGCTCCCCATCGACCTGATGCTTTTATTATCCCTAATACCTTAACACACCACTGCATTTTCCTGTACGACTGTAATCACATGTGATTGTTAATGCAATGACCTATATAAATATATTATACCATTTCATAAAAAAGGCTTAAACAAAATCTTTTTTTTTTTTTTTTTTGTCTGCAGGATCAGCAATGATATTACTGGGAATTTATAATTCCAAACTTCATCCTGCTGACTTTGTATCACTTGTAAACATCAATATGTACTGCATGTATCCTGTTATGGTATCTTGTTAAGACATGTTCTGTTATTCTTAGAAACTTCTGATTATGTTTTGTATAAATCTTCTAACTGCACTGAATGAAAATCTGAATTGAAAAATATTTTGTATTTGTCATTGTCACGTATTCATCCGCTTATAGAAATGTGGTTAATGACATTTACTGTCCACACAGGAAAAGTTGTGCCGAGCAGCAACCTAATCCACAGAAGGGTTAATGCTGAGCAGCAATTATGCAAATGAAACCTGGTAACTGACTTTGGGGTCAAAGGCCGGTTACAGCCTATCAGAACTAAAGGAGGGGTATTTAGGCCCAGTTCTCAGCCTGCTCAGTGCCCTGTCGTGGTTTCCCTTGTGGTTGTCTGAGAGCGCGTTCCTGTTTATAGTTTTCTACCTGGTTTTTGACTTTGGCTTTGTTTATTGACTTCTCTATATTCTGGTATCCCGACTCCTGGCTTTCCTCATCGCTGTGTCCCTTTCTGTGTTCCCTGACCTCGGCTAGTATTTTTGACTATTCTTTGTACGTTAAATCCGGCCATTCTAAGGACCGGTAATACGTTACTTATTTGTCATCCGTGCTGTACAGTTCTACGTGCTGGATCAAACAGTAATCCTGACATTACGACAGGCCATAGATCCTGTAGAACTGTGTCAGCACATAGCTGCTTGCGAGAGGAAATTAGAGGAGAATGATCACCGCATGGATCAATTCACTCAGGCTTTAAGTACGCTTCTCGCTAGAACGGAGCATCTGCAGCCTGCAGGGTCTCCTCCTATAGCACCTCTACCCTGTGTACCTCCACCCACTGTTAGTAGGACTCCTTGCATCTCTTTATCACCATCCCTACAATTTGATGGCAATATCCAGGAATGCAGGGGTTTTCTTAATCAGGTGGAGTACCATTCTGAGGCCTCACCAGGGTCATTCCCCACGGACAGAGCAAGAATTGGTTATCTAATGAATCAATTAAAGGGCAAGGCCCTTGTCTGGGCTAATCCGTTGTGGGAGAGTAATCGGAGCATAGCTCATAATTACCAGGAATTCCTTGCCGAATTCAAGCTCACGTTTGAGCCATTGGGTAGAGAGGATGACGCCTCCACTGCCCTAATGCACATCAGACAAGGTAACCGGTCTATCTCGGATTATGCTATTGAATTCCGTACCTTAGCTTCCGAGGTAGACTGGACTAACAATGGGTTAATCTCAGCATTCAAAAAGGGTCTCTCAGAGACTATACTAGATGAGATAGCCGCTAAAGAATTACCTAAGAGTCTTAATGAATTTATTACGTTTGTCATGCATATTGATAATAGGTTAAGACTCAGAGAAATCACCAGAAGCAAGACCAGACGTACAGCTATGTCCCTAGCACCTCAATTCTCTAAACCTGTTTTGTCTAACCTCCCTGTACAGTCCGAACCCGAACCTATGCAGTTGTAGAAAGGGACATATGATAACTAATTGTCCAGTGCGTCCGGAAAACTTCCGCACCTAAGAACCTTAAGGGGACAGATCTTAGGTGTGATGGAGTTGTCCTCTAACAAAAACAAAAGTAGATTCCTCCTTGAGGTATCTATTTCCCTTGATAACAAGAAGTTTTCTTGCAGTGCCCTAATGGACTCAGGTGCTGCTGGAAATTTTATTGATGTCCAGTTTATTAGGGGTAATGAGATACCGGTCAGGGAGAGACCTACGCCGCTAGCTGTAGAGGCTATTGATGGTAGACCACTCACACAACCACTTATAACCCACGAAACTGTCCCTATTACGATCTCCATTGGGGCCTCCCATAGGGTTATTACTTCTCCATCATGTCCTATCATATTAGGGTTTCTGTGGCTGAGTAAGCACAATCCCTATATTGACTGGGCTAATGGGGAGATATTAGAATGGGGTAAAGAGTGTATGGGGAGATGTATAAAACCAGTACTAAAGAGATTAGATACTATTGACCTTCCCACTACCACTCCCCAAACTCCTGGAGTTCCCATACAATACCGAGAACTTCAGGAGGTGTTTAACAAGGCTCAATCCGATGTATTGCCTCCCTACAGAGCATATGACTGTGCCATTAACCTGTTTCCAGGCGCTATGCCACCTAAGGGGGCAGTTTATGCCTTATCTCCCCAGGAGAGTAAAATAATGGAGGAATACATCAAAGAATCCTTGAGCAAAGGGCACATAAGAAAGTCATCCTCACCAGCTGGTGCAGGATTCTTTTTTGTTGAGAAAAAGGGTGGTGAGTTACGCCCTTGCATAGACTACAGGGCACTTAATAAAATCACTGTAAAAAATGCATACCCTATCCCACTCATTTCCGAATTGTTCGATAGACTTCAGGGAGCTAAAGTATTTACTAAGCTTGACCTTAGGAGCGCTTACAATTTGGTTAGAATTAAAGAGAATCATGAGTGGAAGACGGCATTTAATACCCGTAGTGGACACTATGAATATCTGGTAATGCCATTTGGGTTATGCAACGCCCCGGCCGTATTCCAAGACTTTATAAATGATGTACTCAGGGAATTCATTTACTCATTTGTCTTGGTTTATTTGGACGATATTTTGGTGTATTCCCCTGATCTTCAAACTCACCACTCCCATGTGAAACAGGTTCTGCAGACGTTGTTGAAAAATAAACTTTATTGTAAATTAGAAAAGTGCATATTTGACCAGCCTGAAGTCCACTTTTTGGGTTACAACATCTCTGCATCGGGATTTCAAATGGATCCTAAAAAACTAGAGGCTGTACTACACTGGCCATTACCCTCTGGTTTAAAAGCCATTCAAAGGTTTATTGGTTTTGCCAACTATTACAGAAGATTCATCAAGGGATTTTCTTCTGTAATAGCCCCAATCACAAATATGACTCGCAAAGGGGTTAGTAGCACGGTATGGTCCAAAGAGGCTGTGAATGCTTTTGAGACTCTTAAACAAAGATTTGCCTCTGCGGACATACTAAAACATCCTGACACCAGTAAACCTTTTATATTGGAGGTTGATGCATCCGAGACAGGGGTAGGGGCTGTTCTCTCTCAGAGAGAAAGCCAGGGAACACCATTGCATCCTTGTGGCTACTTCTCCAGAAAGATGTCTCCTGCTGAGCGCAACTATGATATTGGCAATAGAGAACTGTTGGCCATTATTCTTGCCCTCAAGGAGTGGCGACATCTTTTGGAGGGTTCCAAGGACCCCCTGTTGATCATAACCGACCACAAAAATCTGGCATATATAGGGGATGCCAAACGTTTGTCTTCCAGACAGGCTAGATGGTCACTGTTCCTTTCACGTTTTAACTTTCTCATTACTTATAGACCTGGTTCTAAAAATACCAAGGCTGATGCCTTGTCCAGGCAATTTGATAATGAGTCAGCTCCGGAACAGATGACATCTCCTATTATTCCACCAGAGTGTATTATTGCTACTACTGTCCTCTCACTGTCTTCTCCACTGCTTGGCACCATACTGGAGGCCCAGCCTCAGGCGCCCAGTGGTAAACCGTGTGATAAACTGTTCGTTCCCCTATGTGAAAGGGTTAATATCATGAAAGTGTTCCATGACAATATAACTGCTGGACACCCGGGCATCAATAAGTCCACTGCCGCGATCACTAGATCATTTTGGTGGGATTCACTCAGGAAAGATGTAAAGGAGTATGTGCAGGCATGTTCTGTGTGTGCAGTTTCTAAGGTGACTCATGCACTTCCTTGTGGCCTGTTGCAGCCTCTTCCTGTTCCTGAGATTCCATGGTCCCACCTATCCATGGACTTTATTGTTGAGCTTCCTAGCTCTGCTGGGTTCACTACTATTCTCATGGTTGTAGACCGATTTTCTAAGATGGCTCACTTCATTCCTCTCAAGAAGTTGCCATCTTCGCAAGATTTGGTCCTAATTTTCATACGTGAAATTGTCCGTTTGCATGGCATCCCCCACAATATTGTGTCTGATAGGGGCTCTCAGTTTGTGTCCAGGTTCTGGAGGGCGTTCAGTAAACAATTGGGGATTGATCTCTCCTTCTCCTCCTCCTACCATCCACAGACCAATGGTACAGCTGAGAGGGCTAACCAGTCATTAGAAGTTTATTTGCGTTGTTTTATTAATAGCACACAAGACAATTGGTCCGAACTACTCCCGTGGGCCGAGTTCGCTAGAAACAATGCTGTTCATGACTCCTCTGGGCACAGTCCATTTTTTGTCAATAATGGTAGGCATCCTACGGTTCTCCCTGCGGTATTTTCTGATACTGCCATTCCTGCTCTGGATGAGCGTCTGGCCTCCATTCGGGATACCTGGGTTAAGGTTCAAACTGCTCTAGGGGCTGCTGCTGAACGCTTCAAACATTTTGCTGATAAGCGTAGGAGTGCCAACCCGGTGTACCAAGTGGGGGACCGGGTTTGGTTGTCATCTCGCAACATCAAGCTTAAGGTCCCTAGCATGAAGTTTGCCCCCAGATTCCTTGGTCCCTATAGAGTGCTTCATAGGATCAATCCAGTGTCTTACTCTCTGGCTCTTCCTGCATCTTTAGGGATTCCCAACACTTTTCATGTGTCCTTACTCAAACCTCTTGTCTGCAATAGATATACTGTTCCTTGTGTTCCTCCCCCTCCGGTGGTGGTGGGTGGTCAGGAAGAGTATGAGGTATCTTCTATCGTGGATTCTAGGTTTTCTTGGGGCACTTTACAGTACTTGGTTGTTTGGAAAGGTTACGGTCCTGCTGATCGTTCTTGAGTTTCGGCTCCTGACCTGCATGCGGGCCGTAAGATCCACGCTTTTCACGCTAAATTTCCTCTCAAGCCTGGTTCTGTCCGCCCGGTGGGCGTTCTTCAGGTGGGGGGTAATGTCACGTATTATCCGCTTATAGAAATGTGGTTAATGACATTTACTGTCCACACAGGAAAAGTTGTGCCGAGCAGCAACCTAATCCACAGAAGGGTTAATGCTGAGCAGCAATTATGCAAATGAAGCCTGGTAACTGACTTTGGGGTCAAAGGCTGGTTACAGCCTATCAGAACTAAAGGAGGGGTATTTAGGCCCAGTTCTCAGCCTGCTCAGTGCCCTGTCGTGGTTTCCCTTGTGGTTGTCTGAGAGCACGTTCCTGTTTATAGTTTTCTACCTGGTTTTTGACTTTGGCTTTGTTTATTGACTTCTCTATATTCTGGTATCCTGACTCCTGGCTTTCCTCATCGCTGTGTCCCTTTCTGTGTTCCCTGACCTCGGCTAGTATTTTTGACTATTCTTTGTACGTTAAATCCGGCCATTCTAAGGACCGGTAATACGTTACTTATTTGTCATCCGTGCTGTACAGTTCTACGTGCTGGATCAAACCGTAATCCTGACAGTCATCCCAACAAGAGTTCCTACAGCCAAAAACAATGTTTTATTATAACACTGCTTTTGGTTGGAGTAGCCCTTTAAACTTATAAATAACACAAGGGGGCCTACACAGCATTAGCTGACCACAGAATTTAAAATTTTGGCACAGATCTATTGGAAAAACTATTATATTCACCCTTGTTTCAAGCTTTGTCATTGCGTGTTTGTTTGTTATTTTCTCCTAATATATAAACTTCACTGATCAGTTCCCAAGAGTATTGAAAAATATATAGTGGATGGGCAGATAGTATAAAAAACCACTTCATTAATATATTGTTGTTACGTAGAAACATAGAATGTGACGGCAGATAAGGCCCAATTTTCTAAATTAGTCTCTGGCCTTATCTTATAGCTAGGATAGCCTTATGCCTATCCCATGCATGCTTAAAGGACCACTATAGTGCCAGGAAAACATTCTCGCAATACATGTTTGTGTTCCTGACCCTATGGTGATCCTTTTAAGGCCAAAG